GATTGTTTTGATATGCAGCCGATTTCTAAGCTTGGTCTTGATACTATTGTGCAAAGAAAAACCTCGTATGGCAATGACACTATTGAGGAAAATGACAAGACAGAGATACACAAATATAAGCATTTAACCTATTCTCAGTTCATGCTTTTCATGAATGTTACTCCAGACAAGAAGTAACTCTGCATGTCGGTCCTTGACCGCTAACCGCAACAAGTGCTTCATCCTCAAAAACTCTTTGTTGATATGAGACAATATAGACGGGTCAATTGAAAACAACTGCTCTTTCTTTTTACTGAAAAAATTGCAAAAATTTAGTTGCAAAAATTGCTCAACAAAATTTTATAATCTAAAACACCAAATTTATCAAGCTCTTACTGCTTCAGCCTTTTATAAAATGCTAAATCAAAGATTTTGAAGCACATCTCCCTCGGAAAAACGTTCAAAAAGCTTTGCCTCAATTTCCCCCACAAGCACCTTGATGAACACATGAACGTGTTCCACATTGAAACCAGAGTGACCTATCAAAGGAATACTACAACTCTCATTAATCTGCCAAATTATATCCTTTGTGGGCCCGTTCTCTTGAACAGATTTTAAGAAATGTTTCAATCTTAAAATCTGAAGATTGATTGATTGAATCAATCAATGATTGATCATTGATTGATCAATGATCAACAATCAAACAATCAAACATTGATTGTTTGATTCAATCCAATAATCAATGTTTGAAATCACCAACTAGATTCTCAGAGCCACAAATATCCTTGAGAGCAGACAAACACACCTCAAGTCGGCCAGGAATTTTGAGAGTCAGGTTGTTATCTTGCTCAAAATACTTCCTAAATTCCTCTAAGATCTTCAATACATCAGCAACACTGTGCAATATGCAGATGAAAGTGACAGCAGTGAGGTACTTATGTAAGTCTGCAGCTTTCTCCCAAGAACAAGATCAAGAACAAAATCAGCATTGCTAAATTTTCTTGTAATGCATCCACACACTTAGCTCTATAAAACCACCGAGTGGCATTAATTAAGAAAAATTGCACTTTGGTCACACCCCGCCTCCTGGCAAAGCGTGTCCATTGCATTTGACAAGATCTTGATTTTCTAAACAAATTATGCACCGCCTTCAGAACAACGTCCAACTCTTGAAGAGCTTCCATTTCCTTGGCTGTGTTCCCAAGTGCTAAGTCAGTCTTGTGCGCTGCGCAATGGACACTCAAAAGATACCCCACAGTTCTTCGCAACTTTGCGCCCAGTCCATTGTGTCTATCAATTAGTGTGGAGTCACTGTTAGTGCCGATTGCCATCATCTTTGATATTGGGATGTCAAGGGTATCTAATATCGCGCATAGCATCTGGTACATCCCTTCTGCTGATTTATCGCCTAGACTAGCGGCGCACTCAAACTCCGAACATGGCACCCAGATGTCCCCATCCTAGTACCTACTTAATACGGTTCCTAGCACAACATGGTCAAGGATTAATCAATACTGCAAGGTGCATTTTAGTGGAGATAATTTTTTGCATAATTTATCTAAATGAGAAGAGTTCATCCGAGAATTATCAAACAGTGAACCTTGTTGCCGATGTCGTTGGAATTGTCTAGTAGAACATAATAGAAAGTACTAGAAGCTACCTTGGCCAACTGTGCTGCTAAAAGGCCTTCGCTAATCACAGAGAGGAACGACCAGAAGTAGCGATTTTAGTTGTACTTTTGATTAATGCATGAATGCCCCAGCCAAGCAAGATAACTACGCTGGCACACGGATGAAAACATATTCTTACGGCCTTTACAAGTCTTGGAAGCTAGCAATTTTGAATGAAAGTATCATCCACATGATGTAATGCATGCATTGGGAAATTTTGTCCACCCACCCCAACATCACTGCCCATTTTGAAATGAACAAATTCTCTAAGACAACTAGCAGTGCCAGAGAAAACGCGGTGTGCAAGAATTTATTTGTTGCCGCTTGTGAATGGGACACAATTAATGCTATACTCTTTTGAAACCCTTGCCGCTGCTTCACTTTTGACGCGGCTGCCTTATGCTTTATCGATGAAGCATGATTGCTTACATAACCTACATAAGAAAACATCAGATCACATCCCTGTAAAAACTCCCATACACTGTAGTATCCGCTTCGCACTTATACAAGAATTAGAAAATTCAAAAACATATAATACATAAAACATATCTATTCTCACTTGCATCTTTGCAAACAGCGCCGATCTTGGAGTCAAAGTTATTCGCGGCTTGTGCTTCTGTGCAAATGGAGCAGCTTATCATGAGATTCCCATCTTCTTTACTGCTTACCAATGTAGCCTAGACATACTTATGCATCCAACTTTGCACCGTCAAATCTGAGGCATCATACTTCTTCTTCTCTTCTTCTTACTAGCATTAGATGTTGTGGTTGTATTGTCACTTCCTGCCTGCCTGTCTGCTTGGCTTCCGGTTTGCAAATAGAAGTAAGAAACTGCTCATATGTGATTGATATCACTAGGGCCTATGTTGCTTCAAAAACAACTGCCAACAATATTTTCTTACCCGGTGCAACAAAAAGCTCGACGCCTTCATCTGCAACGCTGTAGTCAAAGCACAGCTAGGTTTGCCTAAGGTCGAGCTCCAATTGATTGGCAATATTTCCAGCATCACAAAGATGATGGACTGTCTAAACGCTACATCTCGCACATTGCCAAAGGGCTAACTCAGGAGTTCGACATAGGTTAAGAGCTGCAGCCCAGCTGCAAGTAAGAGGGTTGCTGACGAAAGCATCATCTGAGCTAGGCTCCGCAAATGCGTTGTCACCTGAAACAAGCTGACATTTGATTCAACATTGATAAAAGCCTTACATATGATGAAGCTGAAATGATCAAGTCTGGTTTCAATTACTATCCAGTACCTTGCGCAAAGATGGGCTACTATGTGAGCCTCGTCAATCCCTGACTCTGTGTCAGCCGTTGTTGTACGCCAGCAGACTTACTACGTTTCTTCGGTTGCTGTTGTGCCAGGCTGGACTATTGTGGAGATATCACTTTTTGAATAGCAACTGTAGCACTCTGCAAGGGGAGCTATCGATTGCTCGCCATGAAGGTATGACTTCGTCAGCCATGTTGTACACTGTATGAAAACGCTTTGCTCATTCGAAGAATATGAGAGCGTATACCCTAGAAGCAAAATATGCTTTTAAGAGTGCAAGACACTAGATGCGTGTTTGGCTACATGATATGTCTGCTCGATCAGAATCAATTGATATTGATGACTCATTAGTTACATAATCGCAAGTGGAAGGGTGAAGCAATTGCTTTCTTGCAGGATGAGCAGTGGATTGAAAGCTCTTCAGTCCGCTATTTAATTGTGAGTGCTCCCAAAATTCATACAATAAAGTGACATTTACAAGAGGGTGTATCGGGGTTCTACCCTAAAAAGCCTCGGGGTGTAGCCCTTTGTTAGCAAGAGGTAGTCATGTGGTTTAGCAAGAGGGAGTCATGCGATTTACTCCGGTTGTTCCCCTATCTCCGAAGTCAATTAGTTATTCCCAAGGTAATGTCAAACCCTGTTTATCATTGATAAACTTCAAGATATATATATCAATCATGATTATTATTTATTATATCATTTCATTTTTTTTAAACAATTAAAATTTTATATTTAACTGTATCATCATTATACATCATTTTGTATCAATTAACACATTATCACTTTATATTAATTTATATCAATCATTAAATCATCACTTTGTAACGATTATTGTATCAATCATTGTATAATAAAATACAAACATAAAAACATAAGTTATTATGTTTTTCTTACATTGTATCATCATTTTATCTTAATCAGTTATTGTATTTTTATTTTTTATTGATCATTGCGTGATTATCTATATTGATCATTATATCACCACTGCATATCAATCATTATACCATCACTCTGAATTGTTCATTGTATCACCAAATTATATCAATGTTGTATTACCACTTTGCATTGGTTTTATCCTTATTTTGTACCAGTACTCATATCATCACTTTGTACTCCTTTTGTACAAGTACTTGTTCGACTATCTACATCAAAATTTCAGGTTTGCTAAGCCAAACTGCTTTGTACCATACGTAGTCAGACACTTCAGTTCATTTGCAATTGGGATAGTAGTTATGATATTATACGACAGGATATAAACAAATTCTGACCTCTAAATGAACTGTGAATCGCATGAAAGTTTAATGCATATAAAGTAGCCTTACTGACATACACACGAACATTGAGTGGATCAAGCGGAATAAGATCCAAACTTCATGAGGTTGAAATTTTGCTTGAGCAGTAACATAAGCAAATAGTTGTAGTAAGAGTAATAACTTTATCCATATAATGTTGAAACACTCATTCTCTCAAAGTGGATCTTGTTATTTTGCTCCAACAGATACGTAATAAAGAAAAACACAATTTTTGAATTATAAACTAGAACATGTAATGGATGAATTCTTATAACCGTCTATTATGAATATATAGTTATTGAGAGTGAAATAGTAAATACTATCATATTTACTACTGATTCATCAGACGAATACACTAGATGCACATACGAGAATGTTGAGAATGCACAGTTGACAATGCGTAGATAAGAAATCTACTGCAACAGATGAAATGGTGAAATATGTGTATGTATCCAGGATGAAATTTCACACACTTAACAACTAGTTCTCTCACAATGGGCGATTAGTGTTAAATGGTAGTTCAGTTTCCTATATTGTCTCTATCGTGAAGTGGATGGGATGAGCTGCTTCAAGAAATAAAATAGCCTATCCATGTGCGACAGATTTTGAACTCCGACTGACCTTCCCATCAACTTCTACAGAATTACTCTCTACAGAATCTCTCTCTCCTCTTCATCTATTCCATGATTGGGTACCCCATCCTCTACCTATTAACGATTCCCTTTATGCGTTGACTGTCTTGTTTCAGTCTGAGTTGTAGTGCACGCAGCTTCATCTGTCTTCGGTGAGATGTTGAGCATACGAAAGTGCAGTAGAAAATAACCCACTGTTCAAGTGAATGCGAGTCAAGAACAAGGAAGGTTAGGGTTTAGGGTTTAAGACCGGAGTAGTCCTCAGGATTCAGGCTCTCTCCCGTGCTGCACACCTCACGAAGGCGACACGGAAGTGCAGCCATCCTCGCCATTCTGGACGGTTGGCTGAATCGTTTCATGAAATTAAGTTTTCCTCGTTAGTATAGGAGTGTCCGCGATGACGAAGGAGGTGCTCACGGCCTTCAGTCCCTCCTCTGACTTCCTCGCCGTTGCCACCACTGACGGTCGTATCAAGGTTCGTGGACTACCATTTGTGTATCTCAGCAACCAGTTTGCATCTCTGTTTACTCCTCTTCTTGTATTTGTGGATGGTATCTGGAGTGACAAATTTTTCGTTGTACCGGCTTGCAGACCTGGGACGTTGGAAGTGGCCATTTGCGTGGGGAATTTGTAGATGTTGCAGCGTCTACGAGTGGAGCAGGCACTGCCATTGACGATGGAAGTGGACACTTGGCAGTAGACTACTCATGTATAACTTGGATCTCATTGCCGACGTCCTCAAAGAAGGTGTGCAGAGTCTCACCATAGGAACCCACTTTGTTTAATTGCTGCCTTCCTGTTCTTTTTGTGTCTGCTGTCCTTGAGATCATAAAACTTCTGGGTGGTGTTTTATTTTGAAGTCACAAGCCATCGAGTCGGTGCTCGAAACGTGATCGTCTCAAGTAGTCGTTTCTTGTTGTTGCACGTCTTACAGGCCAGGAAGAAGGGGAATAAAAATGGACAGTCTTTGCTTCTTGTCCTTGGAACAGCTGCTGGAGACGTATTGGCATGGGACGCTTCCCTAGGTCAGCTGAAGTGGAGGGCGAACGACTGCAATGCCGGGTTTGTGTTCCGCGATTGACACCCTAGTTTTCGCAACGGCAGCCAGGGACAGAGTTGCTGGCTTCCCTCGTGAGACCTAATTATGATTTATTTTTAGGTCCTCTTCACATAATGTATAATGGCTTTGTGTGAATTTCAAGACTTCTCTTTGTTTGCGTGTCAAGTACGCGAAACATCATGTAAATTATGTGATAATTCTAACCGTTCCTCCTGTCCATTGCCAGAGGAATTAAAGCAATAGGTAAATCTAGGTGTGGAAAAATACTCTACGCGGCTGGAGCAGACGGTATGATTTGCGAGATCGACAGCGGGAATGGACAAGTGCTAGAGAAATTTCGGGCTGCTAAAACAGCTATCTCTTGCGTCGCCGTCTCTCCAGGTATCAAAAGCATTTTCCCTGGGGTGCTTCGGATTTGTTCGAACTTTTAGAGTGGTTTATTAATTTCGTCAAAATTTTGCCTTCTGCTGGCAGACGGTGGCTCTTTATTGACTGCCAGCTCAGAGCTTAAACTTTTTGATTTATCCAGCAAGAAGCGAATACGCAAATTCACAGGACATCCGGTGAGTGTCTTATCTTCTGAAGTCTTGACCAGTTCATGAGCAATGGAGATGACGGGTCTGCCTTGGAGGTGGCTGATTTTATGTTATTTCTGTAGGCTGAAGTAACAGCTCTGGCTTTCAGTCAGGATGGGAAGTACGCCCTATCATCTTCTACCGGGGAGAGGCAGGTTTCTATATGGGAGTGTGAGCCGAACACCTCAACCACGGGTGCTGTATTGTCTTTGTCTTGCGAGCAGTCAGTTGTGTCACTCGATGGCAGCAGATTCATAGAGGGGACAGGTTTACTTAAGTTACTAGCTGTATCTGAAGGAGGAGTGGCATATGTATGGGAAGCTACGAGCTTAGAGAAATTGGCCAGTGTGAAGCCCGCAACCGTCAGTGTTGCAAGAAATCCTGGAGCTTCCAAAGGAGTTCAAGGTTGCATAATTGCCGCAATTTTAGCAAAGGAAGGGGCGGAAGGGGTTACTGCGGTCCAAGTAGCTCACGGAACTATTGCAAAACCAGCCTTTGAGCAAGTGCATGTTAGTGCCATGGGTGCAAATCTTGTGCTTGCTTCGGATGCTAGTGGTGCTTTGCTTCCTGCCTCTCATCAGATGGAAATTGACACCGTGAAGAAGACGAATGTTACGGTCTTGGGTCCCGAAAATGCTGCAGATGCTGTCATTTCGAAGGCGCACGTCGAATTTGATGACAGCGAGCGGTCTAGAAATGTCAAGAAGAGATCAGCTAGCATTGACTTGGATGACGATGAAGTTCCGCAGGCGGAGAACCTTGAAGAGGAGGAGACTGCAGCAACGATGGATGAGGACGATGAGCAAACAATGGAGGAGCGCCTTATTTCTCTGGGCATTGTCGACAAAGAAGTAGCCAATGGTGACAAGCCGGAGACTGTCGTTAAAGTAGTTCCGCCGCGAGGAGACTCTCTGCGAGTGCTTCTTTCTCAAGCACTGCAATCAGACGACAGTTCAATGCTTGAGCGTTGTCTTTCTGTCCAAGATGAAAAGCTTATAAAAAACACTGTGAGTAAACTTCGGCCTACTGAGGCTAGCAAGTTCCTCAGCGTATGTATGTTGAGACTGGAAACCCGCCCACGCAGGGGATTGGCGCTCGTATCTTGGTTACGAGCCGTCCTTTTGCAGCATTCTGCATCATTAATGACCAATCCGTCCATGCAACCAGTTTTGACGACACTTTATCAGCTGATTGAGGCCAGGATGACAGTTTTTCGGCCGTTGCTTGCTCTGTCTGGGAGGCTTGATCTCATTACAGCACAAATTCTAGGCCAGGAAGCAGGATTAGTTGAAGAAGTAGAGGAGGTAGTAGAAGCAGTAGTTTATGAAGAAGGAGACAGCGAAATAGAGGTAGAGGAAGTGGAAGAAGGGGAAGAAGCAGAGGAAAGCGGTTCATCAGGTAGTGACGCTAATGAAACTATGATTTCCGACAGCGAAGGAGAGGAAGACGCGGGCACGCAATGACTGGCGGACCAACGAGTTTTGTTAATCTAGTGATTTTTAACCCGTTTTCAAGCTCATTTTACAACCCAATCATTCTTACATATAACACCTAACCTGTATCATATGCAAAGTCGCGGCTTTTTTGTGTAGAGAAAGTGATAGATGTCTGTCAAAGGCATGCAGAGAGTGGTATGATAGTGTGCTACCACTGAGAAAAAAGTCTATTAGGTATAAACAAAATTTTGACTGTTATCGTTCTTGCCAGTGAATTGCTGGAATTTTCTTAAGAATTTCGTTATTGTCGCAAAGAGAAAGGAAGAGGTCTTTTACAAGCCAGATATATTTGGCTCAGTACTGGCTTTTAAGCTGTATCTGTGAAGTAAATGCAGCTGCACATGAGCTGCGGTAGGAAGTGTCCTCGTGTAGATCTGAAGACGGTGGTTGTTCAGACGGTGGGAATGAAAGCGTTTCTTATGGATTGCACCGTACATGACAAACGCTGCTTGATACTGTCTTTAATGAGAAGGAGATGGTAGGTAAAAGATTCACGTGACTAATGTGATCTGAAAATTTCTCGCTTTGGGGCAGCTATTTTGTAACCGAACGTTGAGTAGATTGGAATTACGTGAACCCTCACGGAAGTACGGTACAATTCATCAGAGTAACGACGAGGACAGGTGCAAGCACATCTATAAAGAGCCCGAGTAGATTGTATTCGTAGAGAAAGGTGCTCTCTATGTTGACTAATACAGCTAAATCTCAACTGCGAAAGAGTGATCAGTTATTGTGACTAATCTATCCCCACTTCGTTAGATGTTCGGAAGCAGTGCTAGTTTCGAGGCTCCTCTTTCTTCGCTCGAGTGAAACATGCTTCGATCTCTCTCATTCGACATGTAACTCAGCATTGATTTTTCTACATGTTGCTCTTGTTGGGCCTTCGACTCCCTTAACGGAGCTCTTCGGTCTTGTTTATCATCTGCACGGTGCTTTGCCCAAACATTTCACAGGTGGTTCCCTACCCGGATTGTAGAGGGGAAAAAGTTCATCTAAACCTAAACTCTAAAATGTCGTCTAATTTGATAACTACGGTCCAGTACAAAACGACTCCGCAAACGCTAGAGGAGAGATTATTAATGGGGCAGACTAGGGTCACGGCCACACCCGCTATATACAAACAATTGATTGCTTCCCCTCAAACCCAACTACATACAAACAACTGATTGTTTCCCCTCAAACCCATCTGCGAGAGGCTTCGACGGTCGCTGTCTCCCGCGTTGCTGGGGTTTGAGTTGTAGCAGAAGTGCTACAACTCAAACCCCAGTAGTGCGCTTGGGTAGTAGCAAAAGCGCGGCGGTCGTGACCGTAGCAAAAACGGGTGTGGCACTTATTAATTTTATGGATTAAAGTAAAACAAAGGTAAAAGACACGACAATAATAGCTGATGGTTTCCAAAATATTACATGTGAAATTCTCCATTGTTTTATCTATGACGGGAATGAAAACGTTAATAATAGCTGAATCATTTCGAGAACCAGTTACAAACCGATGTAGAAATGATGTACAAAAAAGAAAGGCGGAAAAATAACACGTGTATAGAAATCTTTGTTGTTGTGACTGACAAGACGGTTGTTTTCTGTTGTAAACTCCACAGGGTCATGTCGGTAAAAAAACAAAAATGCATGTTGTATACTAGTTTACCTCGCAGGCTAGGGCGGGGCTAGTATGAAGAACTATCAAACTACAAGTAGACCTCTTGCCGACCTCTTGTACTAAAGCCTGACCAACTCGTGCGAGAATCCCGAGACAGGTTCGAAGGGTCCACATGCCCTTCAAAACATAAAGTTTTATGTAATATCCAGATACAAAAACATGCCTATGTCACAGTCTTGTAGGTCAATCTCCAGACCTGGACTTGAAAGTAAAGTGCCTACAAAACATCTGCTTTAAAAAATGTATAAGAAACTCAATGCAGAAAACCGCGGATCAGAGGTCATTACGGATACGAAGTAGATCCAAGTAAAAATAATACACATTTTAAGCATGGACGGGAAACCAACAACACACATATCCTTGATCAGTCTGAATCCTCATTTAAGCATGAAAGTGAAGTGAAATGAAAAAAAGATAACCAATAACATTCACCAAAAGCCTCAGATTATCTCTAATCCACAATCCGAAGCACAGAGCGGAATTTTTAGTAATTTTGGTGTAAATATTCAGCAATTGATAGCAAACACATTAATTGTGAGATTCTGGAACCGAGCACACAGTATGGACTAAGTTTCATGTTTTATAATATTCGTATGTTGGAAGATGCCTTCAGTACATGTATGAAAGAAGGGTAAATGTATTGGAAGAACGTAACGACTATGTTTAGTTTTCAGCTTATGATCCAAAATTATACCAATTTACATGTTAAATATGTTGTCTCAAGCCAGTACCTTATTGAAGCAGATCTGGGATGACTGCAGTCTCATAGTATGAGTGAAGATACATAAATAATATTGAAGCCCTCAGGAAAAGGTCCAAAGGGTTATGAAGTTTGCAAATTCTAGACTTCAACATCTATCTTCTGAGTATATCTGCTGCTTCCATTAGTCGGAAAAGTGAGATATTTTACCAATTACGTTCGTGCGGTTCCGGATAGGGAAGACCAAGTTTTTGAAACACTTCCTCCTCTGTCTCACATGGAATAGAAACTTCACTCGCCATGCCCTGAAAACATTTGAAGTTATAGTAAGCACATCAGGAGTGCAGATCTCTGATTTATGATTTACTCATCAAGGATCTTCATCTTTACATATCAAGGAACTATTGTAGTACGAGGCATTCCGTACATTGATCGTTAAGGCAATCAATTAGATGACATCATGAAGATAAAGGCGCTATTCTCTATTCTAAACTTCAATATGAGAAAATCAGTTGACTAATACTCGTGTTGTGCCTGCATATGCTGGATAAGCAAAGCATCTAAGCGATGTCTTCCACTACAGAGACTACTGATACTTCTATCGTCTAACATATATATATATATATATATAATATATCCACTCCATACTACTTAGCTCAATAATACTCAGCAATACAAGAAAACTTACAGTTTTGTTGTCTCCAACACGTAGAAACAATCCTTGATCACTAAGCTTGTAGCCTTTCTTCTTGGCCAAGTACCTGATCCTGCAGTTAAGGAAGTGAAATGGACCTTGAGGTCATACGTTGCTTCGCAGTGAAGGACATGATGGAAAAGGAAGGAATCCCTCACACAGGGAAAACATGCTATCGAAGTCGTAACTGCTGAGGCGTACAAGAGAGCTCGTTGTAGAGATTGCAACTTATAAGGATGTCATGAAAAAAGTTGCCCAGCTCATTACTTTGTGTCAAACCGTTGCTTAATTGGGGAAGTTCTAAGTAACTAAGTAACTTCCCAAATATGTCGAAACTTTACTTAATTTATTCTACTGGTTAAGCTCTTTGGCCATGATTCAAGGTAGGAGATTTACCTGCGGTTGAGAACATCATTCCCTGTGAAATAAACAAGCGCGAATGCATACGCCTGTTTAGGATATATCTGCTCACATCAGATCAATGTGGATGATGTCTTCTGTCAAGACAAGATGTCCGAAAAAATAACAGTAGAGCTTGAGTGCATAACGAACAAGTTCTCTGTTCTCTGAGTCAAACAACAACTCTAACCAATTCTACCTCCATTTTGCTTGACTGATGTGTTAGCAAACTGGTCAACGTGTAATCTATAATCATCGTTATCCGTCAACCCTACATATTTCAGACTTCTATAGCAAATAACAACACCAGATAAGGAGAAAGCACAAGGCTAATCTTCTTCCTGAAGAGATGGAGGTAAGACCTTGATGTCGATTCGACGATGATGAGTATACTGAGGAAGTTTGCAAATGCCCATATAAGTATTCACTTTATGTGTGATGTTCTGCAGAGATGTCAGACATGCACGTCTTTGTGAGAAGGATATGAAGCAGGGTTTACAAGAAACTACTCTGGCAGTGGCTTCCATTTCTATCATACTAGTGCAAAGTTGCTTCTCGTAGGTAGCGAGATAGAACAAACTGGTGCGACTTCTTGAGTCATAGACATCACACCGACAGCAAAGAGCTTCTGATGTGAGTTAAAAAAATAGAATTAAAACAACTGATGTCATAGAGCAAAACTATACTCATAAGCTGGAAGACAATACACTCCGATATCTGGTGGCCGTTTCTACTGACAAAGACAAAACGAAGAGGATAGATAAGCAATATTCAATCGAGCACCTCAGTAAATGGATTCGGGCATGTGATTAAGAACTGAGCTTCTTCGAGTTTTGTTACGAGTCGTCCCAATAGACCTTTATGGCTGCATTGGATCAAATAGACCGGAGAATGTCAGGGGAAAATAATGTTCAGAAAAAAATCAAAAGTAGAAAATCTCAGGGTCAGCTTGTTGCTATTATTAAATCACCTGTGACCATCTGGGTGGGTGATGAGGAGATCAATATCTCCACACGTTGCGTTACCGCGCCTATACGAACCTCCCACGATAATCGATGCCTGCAGTTTGTAATACAAAAATTCTAGCTCTTATGTTCATCCTACTCTACCAGCAGTTCACTTCAGTTTTGCAACCACTGTTAAAATCACAACTTGAAAAAAAGGGAAGTAATGTTCACGTACACCAGGGCACAGATCTTCAAGCACATGACGCACAAATGACCCTGCCTCACTGACTTCAGACTGTGGAATTCTTAAAGCAATGTCATAGTGGTACTTCAACCCAACTCGAGCCATGGGTGATAAGGTCTGATCTTCAGAGATATCTTGCAAACTTCTATGACCGGCTTGGTAAAGTTTAAGAGCATGTTTGGGGCCTATGCCCCAAACGGATGCAAATTGTTGCATGATCTGTACCTGCAGGAAACGAGTGAAGAAAGTAATCTATTGAGAGATCGGTATTTCCGGAGGAGACTAAGATGATCTCCTAATACAGAAAATCAGGAAGGGGGCCAAATGGATAACAAAAACGATGGGACGACCCCGTCAAAGTAGAAAAAAATTGAAATAGTAGATTGGACATTTGATTTCAAGGACATTTCCAGAAACTTCAGTACAAATCGAAGTCAATGAGATGAAGATGTCATTCTTACATGTAATCTCTGCAAAAAGAGTGAGAAACAAAATATCGAAGTACGATATAGAGTACGATCTGGACCCTGGATTTATCTTGGAGTTAGAGCTATATTGTGAACTTATTTCCTTTCTTTTGCAACGACCTACATGACATGGGAACCGGATGGACGACAGTCACAAAATTTATAGAGACTTAACAATCGCTATTTAGGCTCATGTACTACATTTTTGTATCTACTAGGTATAATTTCAGAGCTGCAATGTTGTTACTTTCCGGTTCTGTTAGGCCTATTTGTCAAGACAAGGCCAGTTAGTGATATGAATGTGAATGTCACACAGGGAGTAGTCCTAATTGAAATAACTAACAGATCTAGACTTTGAGATTTCGTTTCGTTCGTACATGGCATGCTTCAGATGAGCTTACTTGGCTACTTGCTTTGAGGTTGAAAAGTTTTTGAAGCTGGCCAGTGCACAAAATCTCCTTGATTTTATCCACCATGGACTTCCCAATACCCTGTATGTTTTTAACTTCGTCTGCGCTTAATATTTGGTACGGAAGCCTATCAAGTTTGTTCGCCACCTGAGATACGAGTAACACAAAGCTTTCACATTAGCTAGTTGTAAGGACGATTGGAGGTAATATTCAGAGCTAGTTAGCAAATAACGGTTGAAATTGTCTACTCCCACTGTGGTATGATTCCCATTACAAATGATAGGCAATCCGATCTTTTCTGGTTCTAGATTTACTCTGTCCGGCCCCGAGAGAAGCCGTTTAGCAGATTACATCAACAGATTGAATAAGAGTAGGTCCCTGCAATAGGAAATAACTTGAAGTTGTAGAAGGTGCTTCTTGAGTCAGATACTTGTTTCTAACAAAACCTTAACCTTTAATCGATTCTATTTATTCCAAACTTGAACAGAAGTCGATTTGGAATGAATGTGGTTGTAAGCTTTACATCAGAGTTTGTAAGCGAACCTTGCGATACGTGAGGGATCGCCATTCATCTGCCAAAACATCCGAATAAATTTCGGACAGTTCCAATAAAGGCCTGGAAATGTGCTTGTTGTAATCTGGCATGTCATCCTCGCAGATTGCCTTAAACTTTGTATCAATTGTACATTCCTCAGAAACTTCATCATATCTCTTCTCATTTACCACCTCAGAACAGGCTCTCAGATCTCCGTCAGGAACTATGGCCAGTGCAGGAGTTACGTACAACTGGTCCGACTGTGGCCCTGATTGAGCGTCTAGTCTTGAGTCATCGGTGGAGAGAATGTGCTCGTCTTGTGAAGCTGAGAGAAGGAAAGGCTCGTACGAGAGAAGTGTTCCATCTTTCAGACACTCTTCCACCCACCTAAATTGCACAAAATTCTGCGACAAAGGGTCGGGTTTCTCGTCATTGTTCCTCCATTGAACACTCAGCCCAAAAACCTACCTGCCTTCTATATCCTTACTCCTAGTGGATAATAACATCAAGATATAAAGTATATTCATTCTATGCGGTTCTTGAATTTGCACCCAAATTAAGTTCCAAACATGGGGATAGGCTTTCCTTATAAATGGTTGATGGTTTGGCATCGGTTGATTACCAGGTTTGGACAGGAGCCGAGCCTGTCAAAATTGATGCCCTTTGACAAAGCTGCTTCATGAGCAGCCAATATTATTATCTGGTCAACTCTGCCAAGAAGATTGGCTGCCGCCGTGAGAATAGTACCTCCGAGATCTTCAAACCTTCTCTGCCAAACCTACTGGACAGAAACACATTTTTTAAGCACCAGTTGTAAAAATAGTCTTGCTCCTTTGTTGACAGGAGCATTCCTACGACCTGATGGAATACCTCACTTCGTATCGTGGTGCCTCCTGAGAAAAAAATTCTGGTACATTTTGGTTCGACTCCTTTAATTTCCGCTCCTCACAAAGTACTCGAAGAATGGAGTCCATGCTTCGTAAGGTTCCATTACATACAATTGCCTACAGCAATTGAGTAGAGTGCACGGAGGCTAACACCTAGATCATCATATAAGAAATTCATAAAACTTGTAGTTTGGCCAACAAATTTGATACCTGCAGTCGCTTCCTGCTAACTCCAGTTTCGATAAAGATAGCTAGTACCCCACTGAAGAGGCCATCAGTCAACTTGTCTGTCGAATCAGGTTTCCGCCTCGAGTTTTTGCTTCCTTGAGGTATCATGACTAAAGAATTGGGTCTCTAGATGAACTTTTGTATTGTGATCTGGTTGATTACGATCCAAGCAGCTTGTTTTCAAACAACAACTCGTCATCTTGTGGATATTAAAGCTGGAACACGGACGATCTAAGACGGGCAAATAGCTCCTTTTTATAATTTGAGGCTGCCACAACTCGATGGTTGAACAAAGACATGCATTGTGATCAATCATTATTGATGATTGCACAAGGGTAGCTTCCCGAAATGGCAACCAAAATCATTCGCTGAACTAAGGATTCCGGATTAGGATAGGAAAGATTTCAACAGTAAGAGAAGAAAAGAGTCAAGATGATTGCTGTAGATCGCTACTCACAGACCTAAACTAGCGCTGTAGGAAAGTCGTGGCTAGTTCATTCGCCTGTACTACGGTTCGCTACAGGCTCCAACTTCGGAGATTTCAAGTATATGGTCTCTGCCAGAGTAGCCTTGAGCTGGAAGGTCATGCGCTGTAGAAAACCATGGTCCAGGGTTTCCTTCCGTCTATGTATCAAGATTCCCATCTCTTATATATTCCAGAATCTGGAATGAAGAACCACAGTGAGTTGCAAATAAGGTATGGCCTATCTTAGGATCGACTCCGAAGGTTGAGCAGCGCCCTGTATATATCTTAAGTTTGATTTGGATGAAAGAGATTTTGGAGAAGATTCAAGGTTTGAGGTGGAACTTCGTTTCTTCGGTTACTTGGACTTTAACTTAGTCATCTAGTCAACTTCGTATCTTCGTCACTTGGACTTTGGCTTAGTCATCTAGTCATTCTCATCATATTCTATACAAGTCACCTCAAATATAATTCACAAGGATGTGACGTTTTTAGTCGTGAACATTTCGTCACGAGATACTGGCGTGTGAGCTTTCGAGCCTTCTCGGGCTTCGTACTCTGTATTAGTCGACTATTCCTTCTTAATTTCTGGAGTTGGTCTGAAGAGCGTACTCATGTGTTTGAGATTACATCACAAAGGAAACGGAACTGTATCCATTTTTAGAGCATCCATAAATATTCTCCAATGGAGTTACAAGTATAGCAAGTTGGTACGTGTTACATCGACTTTTCGAACAAAGCCTAGCAATTTTAATTTTTAGAATCTTTGTGTAGAGTTTACAACATCTCTTGCCTTTGCAATTTTCGGATGAAGCTTTTTATTCATCGTTCAAGTGGAACTTAATCTGGGAGAGAGTTCCGAATCATATTCAAGAGACAGGAATTCAGTATGAAATCCAAATATATCTTTCCATAGAGGATTATAATACTCTTGAGTCAATGTCTCGTAATGAAAGTTTACAATCTTTTCCAAGATGCAATCGGATCAAACACATAGTCGGTTCATATTGAATTCATGTCTCTTGATTAGGAGGCGAAATCCTCTGCCATATTATGATGCACATGGAGGAGGTATAGAAAGCATCATTTGTAAATTGCAAAGTCACGACATGTTCTAAGCTCTAAAAAAGATTCCAATAATAGAAATTGATAGAACCAAACCTCATACCTATCCTCATAACTAAGATGAGAGTGGCGAACATTTGACTTACTGAAAACCAAAAAATGTATATAATAACTATTTCATATACAAAAAAGCATAACCTTTTACAGACCAAAAATAACCAGAGTGAGGAAAAAATTTAAATTTATTACATGCAATAAAATTTGGTCAAATTTTATGGAAGTAAAAAAATAATATTTTAAGAATAAATTATGCAAAAAACTCTTGAAAACATATTAAATCCAACACTAAATACTGTATGGAAACTTCGAGTAGGTTCCATGGAAATTTCTAAATTTGTATTCATAACTTTTTCATTTACATGACGTGTCAAATATCATTGTTTCTTTCTTAGAAGATAATTCAAATCCTGATTAATTCTAATTGATTTGACAATGGTTAGCTGACAAAGACAAATACTACTATGCATCGCATAGAGTTCATTATCAGTTCAATATATTTACAGAGCTGACAGTAAACTCTATGTGATATGAAATTGGTGATGGACAACCCAAAATGATGGTACATTACATTTATAGGGCGGATAGTAAATTCTATGTGATGTGAAATTGGTGATGTACAACTAAAAATGATGTTACGTTTGCAAATTAAATTGGACAATAGTGGCAAAGCATTTACTTGTGTGTCTCAACAAAATTTAGTATTTATAACCAATGAACCGTGATCATAGAGACAAAAATCTAGAGTCATGATAGAGTTTTTTATTCCTAATTTTTGCATGGTATTCATTATTCTACATCTGTTACCATGGAGCTCTAGAATCAATATGATCGGAAGTGAATGAAATAATTTCCAAAACGTTGTATGCAAGCTAACAACCAAGCTAACCTAGCGGAGAATAAACCCTGACAGTTTTTGAATTGTATTGAATGGAAGTTTAGAAGCAAAAGTGACGTTTTGACTAAAAGTTTATCTTTTCCATGAGAGAGATCAAATAATCCATTCGACCAAGCAACAAAAGGAATAATCTCAAACAAAATGAGATGACTGCAATGGAGACTGAAGGAGCTAGACATGACATTGTCAAATATGATAGTGAGTGAGTATCCTTTGTGATAGAGCCAAATCAAGAGCAAGCAAAAGGATGTAAGTTTGGACAAGACGTTGAAACCTAGACTCTTAACTTTCAATTACAGAGAATAATCAAATTAAAAAACTTTCCATGTTATTTAGAATCTCCCAAAGAATAGCGATTCCAAACTCTAGATGCTAAGTATATATCTAAAACTTTTACATTAAACATTTATAAACAATGAATCATTCCTTGTATCATGATAGCGACTGTATGTTTCTGCTTTGAACTCTGGCTTGTGAATTTTGACCCAATAATACTTTGAAATTTTTTGATTAGTATTAAATTATTATTTCATTAAAAGATTATTTGAATTGATTAACTTCATCACTTTTTATTCATATATTTCAAAGTATAAATGTGATACTACTCTATATGTAGTAAGGATTCATATGACTCTACTGTACATCAATTGGAATTCAAGTAAAAATCAAATTCAATAGCAAAAAAAAATGTTCTTTTAGAAAACTATGTATGTATTGCGTGCAAGTTTATTTATTTGGTATGTTATTTTATCTGACTCAATAATCAAATTATGTATATATTAGACAAGCCAAAATAAATTATTACAAATCATGAAAATTTTCAATACTAATAAAATTTATGACAGTATGTAAAAGAAAATTTCCTTCTTTAATTTATTAGTACAAATTTGAGCACATTTACGAACAATAAGAAACGTAGAACATGAACTATTTTCTTAATTTTTAAAAAATACACCCATAAAAATACATAAACATCAATATTATATTTTTTTAAATTAAAAATATTTTTTATTAAAATGGAAATGTCTATATTTATAATAAGGCACCCAAAAAAACGCTATACTGTACTTCAAAACATCTTTCCTCTTTATACACCTTATTTCAAATAAAATTGCCCATCATCTTGCAAATTCATGTACTGTTCCATGGTTTTACTCTGCTCATTTCTCTATGGTTAATTGAAGCTAGGCTTGTCATTGCATTCTCCGTGGCAATTTTTGTATTTTAATAGAACATCCCTTTTCCTCAAACTCAATTTCCTCGGGCATCTTATGCCATACAAGGTCAAAGTTCTGCATTCACATGAATAATTATCGGTCGAGTTTGCGCTCACAATCGTGAGTCGTGGCTAATTTGTAGCGCTCAGTGGCATATTTCATGATACTAGGGTATCGATTTCCATTTCCGTATACGGATCAAAGTACCATGTACTCAAAAAGACCGCATCCAAAAACTTATGGACGGGAAACATCCGACAATGAAAAGTTCATTAATACTTCTCTTGTTTAGTGGCATACTTAGTCATTGGACCCTTGTTGAATGGAGCTACCAAATCCATCTGAAAGACTTCTGCAAACTCAACTAGTAAGGACTGATGCACTTGGTCTAGGATCGCGGCATCTTCCATGACCCATGAACTATAGCTATCAATCACTTTCGATGGTCCAGTATCTTGCGCACAAATCAAGTTGGCAGCGTGAAGAAGCTGTTTAACACTCCCAACTGGTCGATCGGCTATACCACACGGAACGATACGCTCGAAAGGGGCAAGATCGGTGCTTACATTTAAAGCGAGGCCATGATATGTGATCCATCGTGAGACACGTACGCCTATAGCCGCAACTTTGAAATCACCTGCGGTCACAGCGAGACGAGACACAAGTTGGTCGGGTGAGAACAGAACAAATCGGCTAGTGACTCATTCAATGATATATCCGGTAATCACATCAATGACTGCGATTCTGATGGAATTCACAGTAGTAGCCGAGCCTAACTTTTACACTCTCGATCAATTTCTCGCAATGCACCCAAATTTCAAACAATCATAAAGAGACGAGAGAGCTCCAGCCTTCATTTGAAGTACATGTATGATGTACAACGTCAGGACCTTTTCCTCCGGCCGACAGAGCACTTACCGATCCAAACCCCAGTTAACCCATCTACGCGTGAAGCTCGAAGACTAAATGAGGACCACAGAGCACGAATCACAACCTCCTCCAACATCCGCAAGTACCAGTGTAGATCCATCTTTTGTTGCCGCAAATTGACTATTGGATACATGACTAGCTGCGAGATCCACAAACGATTCGCTCAGAATGCTGAGTTCAGTACTTGCCTGTATGTGATGGGCAAAGCGGATTTTCGTCAGCTGCACGATCATAATGAGTGTCTGATAGTGTCTCTTGCCTGAGTTGGATATACTTGTCATGAAGAATGGATTCTAAAATAGGTTTCGTCATTTCAAACTGAGGTTGCAATTTGTATTGTCGGAAAATCAAACAAGAAACCTCAACTTCTTACCTGGCCAGGTCCATGATATGTGACCTCACCACCTCGTTCGGTCTGATGAAGCTCGAAGGGTGGATGGTTCTTGTCAAAACGCAAATAAGCATCAGAGCTTCGAGTTCCCATGGTGTATACAGGAGAATGTTGGAGCAAGACAACTGAGTTCGGAGGCTCCTCACCCCTGGCGACTGATGCAGATATCCGCTCAACTGTTTCTTTTTGCCACCTCCAAGCCTCGACATAGGGCACAATCTCTTTGAACAAGTCATGGCATTCGCACCTGTAAAACACCAGCCGTGGTTAATCGCCGAAGGCAAGGCAGACGTAGGAGTACCGATTCCAGAACCGCTTCATTTGGTATATTTCTTCTACAAATCAATGACGTAGAACAAGCATTGCGAGATAGAGTTTCTATCAAAATCTCCATGCGATTATTCAGAGACCGCAACGACTCTAGATTTGTAGTCATAAGGAATAATTATGTCTTCCAGAATACAAAGAATCTCATTTCATGTAAAACAAAATTCAATCCCCTGTGATTGATCTCCGTGGTAGAGCTAGGAAGAATTTATGAATTTGCTCTATTATCAATTTATAAATTCTGCGTTGTCAACAAATTGCGAAAAGACCAGGGGATAGAAACGTACTGGCGGCGTTGATCGCGAGATGGAACGAACAGAGCTGATGTTATATTGGGGGTCCGACGCGATAACCCTGCCGCTTGTGGATGAAACGAATTTGTTGAATGAGTAGACCTTGTGGGAGATGATTGAAAAAATGACAAAAAACCTGTCCTTTGAGTGCCTGCTATGGTGATCATGTTCGTTTGCCCTGACTCTTGTCTCCAGTTTGTACAGAACGAAATTCAATCAGCAACAACAACAAAAATCGCATAGAACCTAAAACCTAAAACCTCCATACCAGCGCTGCAGGAGGCCGAAGCTGACGGATTTTACAGAGATAAAGACAGGATCTGTTTCTGGTTCATGTGGCACAAGTGCTTGGGAACGATCCAATTCACAGTTGCCTGGACAGAGCGTATAGCGGGCGTTCTACAAAAAGTCTCCTGCACCTTGATGAAGCATTCCAGGATACCGCCTTCCCGGTTTCCATTAACTTCGTGTACAAGTTTATCTGAACATGATTCAGGAAAGTTACTTCACGCTGCTCAGTACCATGCACCCCGCTGTCATTACATTTACTTGATATTTATCTTAGGTGGATTTGAGATTCCACTTGATAGCGTATTTTAGGTCAGTACATAGAACATTTGGGTTTGCCTGTGGCATTCTTTCATACGCGAGTTGATTGCTCAATCCAGTAGCATGGTGTTTAAGTCAGTGATTGGTCAAAATCGAGTGACCACGGCCACTTTTTAGACCTGAAACGCTCTCTCGGCTCCAAAATACTTTTGCGGCAACATCAGTTTAAGAACAAGTGAGCAGTTATTCTGTCGACTCATTAGGTGAGATCAATCTTCCAGCCGTAACACCATCACTCTTCGTACATATCATCCCGTCTGTGGACAATGTCGTGATCATAATCGCAATAAAATAACTCACTGGTCCGCCCTGCCATATTTATATATGTATACAAATAGATACATTTTCGATGAAGAAAGGTGATATCTACGACAGCCTCATCAATTCAAAACATTTGTACCAAGGCCATAAAATACTTGAAATCTGGAACATGCCAAATACGGCAACCTGAAGCTTACTCTGGCCAACATATTTGCGACTTGGCATTCCGTCAAGAGTAGATACAAATCAAAGTACTCAAAACGATGCTCATTAATAAAACACCATGTTGGAGTACAGCTTGACTGATTTACACGTAAATAGCTGGAACTGGCTTCATTGCGTCTAACAAAAAATGTCCTGTTTCAAAAATTCGGCTCCTTTACTATCTGCTTGCCTACTTGATGTGTCTAACATGTCCTCCGAAAATCCAACCTGTCTCAGAGCTTCATAAACACCGATTCCCGCTGCAACCGAAAGGTTAAGACAACGTACGTATGTCTCGTCTATTGGAATACGCACAGTCCCACCACCATATTCACTATTTAGGCACTCATCTAGAGCGCCGTCTGGGATACCTTCAGTTTCTGACCCGAACATAAGCCAATCACCAGGTCGATACTTCACGTCCTGCAATCCAGAACGGCAAACTTGAACCAATCATTAAGAAAGTGAAAAAAACTTCCGGTCTCAACACAAATGGACAAGTTCAAGACTGACAGGAGATTTAGAGAGAAAGTTTTGAAGGTTTATATTCTTCTGCAGCCTCGCATGTTACACTCAATGCTATAATTGTGCATAAGGACGTTGTTGGATTTACAATTTTCTCAATATGATTGCTCCCAAAATAAAATGCTCGGATCCTGATACCAACTAAGGATCAAGCACACCTGAGTACTCAAAATGCAAGTAGTCTAAGCCACGGAAGATGTGTACCGTGTGCGCCATAGTTCCTTTCTTGGTGAATCCGAGTAGTCGTTTTTCACCTTTCTGTGCCACACATTGAAGAACTGATTTAGATCGCAGATTTACTATCAAACCCAACAGATAAGCAAAATATCCTCCAGATACACAAAGGGCGTCGATTTTTAAACGACCAACCAATGGCCAAGACAGTGATGTCGAGTAACTAACCTGCTCTTGAAAATACGCCAAAAATTCGGTCCAGTTACTATGCACTTTGACAACAACATATCTAAATTTATTCCCTTGACAGGAAATACAGTAGAACAAGAAAGACAGTGTATGCTTCGAACATTTTTCTGTTGCCAATTGAAAATATCATGAACTTAATACCTGAACAACTAAGAAATTCCTGAAAATAAAGTCTCAGTTAAAACTGTTCATCGATAGCAAGGGAAAAGATGAAAAAGGTACTAAGCTAACCAACTGGCTGAACTTATGAAATTCGATAACTGAGACTGAGCATGTCGTAAGAAAAGAGTGTGATGTGAGGTATGAGATCTCTAAACATGTAGTTCTGAACAACTGGATAGTAGGTCACAGATAGGGACAGCACGAAGGCTCAGTTCCATGCTTAGGAGCTTCTTGGTCACTGTAAGGAGGATTGTAATATTCTCACAGAGCTACATGACCAACATGAGTACGAGATTTAGGTTCCGATTTATCATAATGGAGTGAAGGATACGGCCAGTAATCCAATCCCGCACGTTTCAACTTCGCGCTGTTTATTTCAAAACCAAGGGGCTGCAAAGCGACAACAAGATGCTAGTTTTAGTAAGAAATGAGAAGTGATTCTTGCACTCAATCTTGCAAAATGTGCACAACCACACTTATTGACACATTCCTAGTTAGAATACGATGCAGTCTGCTTATTGGTTGGAAATAAGCATAGTCAGGGTCATAGGGGGTAAGACCACGCAGGAAACATCGAAGAACTATCTAAGAGATAGGGCGAAACGGATAGCACATGTAAAACCAGGGAATATACATTGTGAGAACTAGGCAACATGACCACGTTCTGCGCAAGTAAACGATATTGAACCGGAAAAAGCAGTGAGGAGTAATAAAGAAGAGGCTACGCTGGGCTGTCTGATTTGCTATTGCTCAGTTTCAAGAGTAGCTAACCTCAACAAGATGTAAACCAACAGCAGCTGCGGCGCAAGTCCTGGCGATGCATCCCGTATTTCCAGGAATCTGCCGTAAAACAACGTACCTGATTTTGTAAGTACCACAGAAAGAATCTAGTCCTCAATCCTAACTATGAAGTAACGTCGTGATATTCTTTCAGCCAAATGCTCAAGAAATAGGGTTTCCATACAGATGTAGATGCATGTAGGAAAGGAATGCGGCTGAAGAGCTTTGAGACTGAAGGGAAGTAACGATAGCGAGAAAAAAAACTAGTGAGTACCTGAAAAATGTAAACAGCAAAGTATAGGCTCGATATTAGCTAAATACCCAGAACATGACAAAGAGCAGCAATGACCTCGATATTATGTGTTACGCACCACCATGAAGGTAAAAATGCTCATGCTTGACACAACTCTCTTTGCACTTAGATTTTTCTTCAGACTTGTGTGAATGTGCAGTCGCAGAAATCCTACGTCCTATTCGTATATCTACAACGATCATTTCTCCATTCTCAGGACAGTCCTACTTTGCAAGTGAGAGAGAATGACAGAAGAGGCATTTATTGCTTGTAGGTTACCTGTGGTGATACCAGGACAACCTGAAGGTCGATCTTTCTTTGAGTTGATTTGGCATATTCTCCCAATCCCGCTAGGCGCGAACCATTGCTATCAAATGAAGCTGAATGCCAATTTCCAAGTCTGTCAGCAAGAAAGATTCTCAATAGCACACATCTTCACAGTAATCAGATTTCAAGATAAAATGGAACATGAACCAAAAGCGGAATGGTAACTACATTAGATCCACGCATATATACTTGGAATTGAGAAAAAGATCGTGATTCGATATTTTCTTCGAGCGTCCAGAAAGTAAATACGGCATCGAGGGAATGAAATGGATGACAGTGCCGGTTCACTTGAAATATTCATCGAGCTTGAAAATTCTTGACAGAACATGATGAGCAATTCGAAGATTTTAAGAATTTAAGATTTTAACCCATAAAAAGCTGCTTGGAAGGTTCATTACAGGAGTTGCACCCAACTTTGAAATTGGAAGCTAAAATACAAAACACAGATACATATATATAGATGTATCTACGTATACATATGAACGTAATATTCAAATCCAGGAAAAGAGAGGAGAGGTGTGGACATGCGGGGGCACCTGAGGCAAACCTGCGCACCACTTTCTTTGTGTTGAATGAGAAAAGTTTTGAGAAGCGAGGTGCGACATTATGGCCGCCAACTGCACTGCGCTCTACTAACTCATTGCCAGAGCACAACGAGGCTAAACTTCTCTCTGAAATGGGAACCTGTAGTGCGCAAGGAGCTGTCGTAAATGACCGCCTTGCAGATCTCTTCAAAAGGTGAGATGGTCTAGAAGTGTCATGAATGGACGACAACCGGACCATGGGAGATAAGACAACTGCCGCTAAGCTGCCTTGCAACGCCATGCTCAATCACATTCAGTTTCGGGAGGTAAATCTTAGCTGAGCTGAGCTCATCAGTTCAATTGCTTCAGCAGCGAATGAGTCTCTCGATTCGCTGCGCTGGTGTCAGTTACCTTGCTGCACGAATATCTTTCCATTCTTCGCGCGAGGTTTCCTAACCCCTCCACTGTTCAGTTCAAACCCAAAAAGTGAACACCACGTAGCACCGTTCAGTTATAATTCTCCACCGCTTTCTTTTGACGAACATTCTAATTTGCACTGTAAAAGCATGGTTCGCAACTACAACAATACTAATAGAATTTCCGTTTTGATTTCTTCTTTTATGCATTATGTAAGTTTCCATCTATAAAATTACGTGGGATTTAGATCAGCTAGTACACAAAGCAATGTTTGTATTCACATCTTTTACACTGATTCCGTTTGGATTTGAGTTGTCCATCTATATCTCATTATTCATGTGTAATTTAGATCAAGGTTTAACCTAATCAAATTGTTGGGTTTAGTGCAGACCTCAATAGAAGTGGCATATGACACTTTTTCCACCTTTTCGTTAATTGTGGCAACCAAGATTTCTTAAAAGTGGCATTTGTATTGAAAAAATTTTCAAATGTTTTGAAATCATAAGAGACCCAGGTTAATTCAAGATTTTAACTTAGATTTGGCTAACTTAGATTCCGCGCCCATGTTATGTTCAAAGTACACCGAAAGCCATTGAAAAACTTACTTTACTTCAAAAGAGTCAATGAATCGGCCGCATGATTATTCACCGAGAGATACTCAAATCACAAAGAGCTAGTACTTTGAGAAAGAAATGAGTTCATGGTTCATGATACTAACAAAGACTTGAATAGTATTCCTTCTCAAAACCTCAACTGAAGATGAGTAACATCAACTATCTTCAATCCTAGGAAAATAGAGAAACTTGGTTTCATGACCAAAATATTCTGGCATTAGAGTTTTAGAAAAATTTTGCAATGTATGTAATACTCTTTTCTTCCTAAAATTAAATCCATGAGCTGATCATGCGTTATATCAATTTTTGTCCAAAATCGGGTCAACAAATCACATACACATATTCAGTTTCCAATCACTAACAGCACACTGACAGCAATGCGGTCTAATGCTTGTTTGGTTGGGATAAAAACATTATTTAGTTGTCAGCCGTTCACTTTGTAAACTTTACGCAGTGCTTGCTAACTCTTAGAAATTTACTACGTAAAGTTCATTTGCAATCAAAGAATCACCATAGAAATAGTTTTAATTGTGGCGTCAGCAAAATTTTAATTGTGGCAAATGTGGCATTTTTAAAAAAATAAAATGCCACTTTTAATCACGTATGGTTTAGTGTCAACATGCTCCATGAAGAAGCAGATAATAATTATAAAAAAATTTAATTAATCTGGTAGAACATTCAAAATTCTACGTATATAAGTCATTTTCATGATTTTATTTTTATTTGTTTGCAAATTATAGTTATTTATCATTTCATTATGGAGTCTTGAATTTGTAATAGTGAGCCAAGTGTACAATTCACGTGCAGAGAGCATTGAAATTTTATTTACATTGGGCTAAGACCACTGCATAATTACACTTATTTAGTAGTAACTAGATTAAAAATATAGAAATGATGATGACAAAAAGTTTACATGATAAAATTTTATGATGTATCTGTTTTTTAGATTCACATACTATGTATTGACAAATTGTGGGTATTTTTTGAATTTCATTGGACATCAAATATCTATATTCATCAATCCAAGCTTCATAATTTATTGAAAATGCCAGGTTTTCCAAAATAAAATTAAATCATGAAAAAATTTTCTTTTTAGTTTTTGCAATTTTGATCGTAACATTTTTATTTCATTATTTTTGTCATTTACATTCACAATTGGATTAAGTCATACACATGAACTCTGATTTGAAAGCAAGTACACTTTTTATCATGAAGCAATTCACGACGTGTTTAGAGGTAATCTCCTACACTAATTACCTCATACTCTCAATATTTTTACTTCAAGATCTGAAATGTTTTACAATTATAGACGTGCACAAGAGTTCTTGTGGCTTGAGTTATTTATATAAGGTATGTCACTTTGTCCAAATTAAATATGGCAAAGTTGTCATCTAAAAATAGAATGTCACATCCTACAAGTCTTGCATTAATCTTGTATTATTGAAGTTATATGGCTCAAGAATTATGACAATTGGAAGCAATTGAATGAGATTTGTTTGCTTTGCAATTGAAATATAATTTTGTATATATATGTGTAAAAATGAAAATATATTTAGAAATTCAATTGGATAATCAAAATATAAAAATGAATGAAATGCATTTTTAAGTATTGTAAGATCATAAAGCTCAAAACTAATGAGATGATTCAGATTTTGTGACTAGTTTATTTCAAATTGAGTTTAATCCAAAAAAGTTTCATTACAAAATTGGCAAAATTCAAGAATGAATTGATTGAATAATGTCTTTGAAAAAAGATGAAATACTGTTGATTCAAGTATAATCGACAATGGCATATTTCAAGAATTCAAACAATGCTATTTCGCATCAATCTCAATATCTTTTTATTGCGGAGAATTATGGTTATACGCTTAAGCCTCGGCAAGGTAAGGTAATCTTTTAGGGTAACCCGGTAAAAGGTAAGGGTAAAAGTAAAAGGTTTGGCCATAGGGTAAGGTAAAGGGTAGGTAAAGGTAGAGCCAAATAGGTTATCTGGTAATTACGGATTAACCCTCTTACCCGCAAAAAATGAAAACTGTCACCCTCTCAGACTTACTCAGAATGTAATTGTGCACATTTTCAACTAAGAAGTTATCCAGCAAATAGCAATGCAGGTTTAAGTCAAATTGATAATTTTGATCACAATCGCTATTCTGCATAATATCGTGAAAGCACAAAGTGTAAATAAGGAGTTAAAGGTTAAGCTCTTGCACATGATGGACTCAGACACAAATGATCAGGTTAGTTTCCATTCCATTACGAAACTGGATGTAGGACAAGAAAAGAATGAAATGCTTGATGAACTTGTTAATGGCAAATTGAATTTTGCACTGTTGTCACTTGCTAATTCTTTTCTTTTCTTTTAGATTAGTCACAATAATCCTGTGGGCTCTCCATACAGGGTTTATGGTTGAAGGGTATAGCAGGTCAAGAAATTTCATGTTAGTTGCAGTTTTTATACAGGTTCTCCAGACAACACACATTTACAGGATATTAGTTTGACAATTTATCAGTTCACTAAACGGATAAATTACTTTATTATCTCTACTTTTTACCCTAAAAGGTAGATTTACCGTATAACCCTGAGGTAAGCGTAACTTTTAGATCTTTGAATATCCATACCAAGTAACCAGGTAATTACCCTTAGGTAGAGATAAAAGTTAAAGGTTGACAATAGTGGCATGAGTAAGGTATATAGTAGGGTAAAGGTAAAGGCTCATGCCTTACCCGATTACCTTTTACCTTACCTTGCAGAGGTCTATATACGCTTCTCAAATTTTGTCACTTTGTAAGTGTAAAATGAAGATGGAGAAAAATATGTTTTCAATCATTCCATGTGATAAACATGTATAATCCATGATGTCATTTTACTACGGCTAAGTATTACTTTTATCTCCAAGTCGACTAAGTCTTACAATCTCATAAGATTTACTTTTGACCACTACGTCTTTCACTCTCCAAGATCATAGTTAGTTCTTATCTCATAAATTCTAAAGTCTAAAGATCTATATAGATTGAATGTAATTTTGCGGGCAAATTTGTCAAATCAAAGAACGAAAATTTCAACGGTGCTCAAACACTATTGTGCGACAATTCAAAGATGGCAATTCATTTTTTGCATGAGTCTACCAGGAACACACAAGAAAACAATCAAAACACACAACACTGCATGCAATTTTTCTTCTAACGATACGCAATTTGATTCTTGTTAAGTTTAAAATCAATTTTACAACAATTTTGTTAATTTAATAATTTTTTGAAAAACTGATAGAATTAGAGGGTATGAGTTAGATCTAGCTTTCTTTTGTAGACCAAAAATCATTTTTTCTTTTAAATCTAATAATACATCTTTGAATTTTTCAAAATAATTTTGCCGTTGTTGGCATTGACTAAATCATAAACCTTATATTGAAGAATTATGGTTTAGACAATATCAAATTCAAATTTGTAAATCATTTTGATTTGACTATTGTTTAATAAATTATACTCATATACATCAATTTTCTATATAAAATAATTAAAAATTAAAAAGTTTTGATTCAACAATTTTTTCATAGCTATTTTTTGTTAGTCTGAGAAAAAATCAAAAATATAGTTTTTTTGACAAAAATGTTTAGCTTATACCTTGCATTTTTATATATTTGAGAGTATTGAAAATACAAAAAATTTGGACGTAAATGCAAAATCAGATGCATCATATTTTTCAGTTTTTCAAACAATTATTGTGAATGTTTCATCAATATTAGCATCACTTTTATTAAATTAAATTACATATTTATTAAGCTTAAATCTTATTCAAATTCACATATGATTTGACATCATACTTGATAGTTGATGATAAGATAGATAATGAAATTAGATTTGAGTTGATTATCATAGTTTAATTGCTACTATTTACTTTGCATTGCAATAATATTATTTTTTGTCATTTACAAAAAATAATAATTTATTATTTAACACTTCAATTGGTCATTTTTGACTTGCATCTTGTGAAATTTGTTTTAAGATTGATGATGAGTTCATAAATATATTGAATCATTATGACATGATTTGTCAATCCTGTTGATTAGTCAAATACATCAAATGTTATATTAATTGCATCAACATATGTTGAATCTATCGTCAAATTGTTTGTCAAATCACCATTGCTCACATGTCTATTCTACGTTTTACTTTTACATTGTTAACAAATTTGCTTGTGTTTTACTCTCACATTGCATATTCATAATTATCTCACTAAATTATTTTCTTATTATTTCACCTCAAATTTTATCAAACAAGATATATTCACATCTTTGCTTTCATCTTTGTTTTTTTTCTTTCTTACATTGTTGGTTTTATCAAATATTTGACTATCACACCATCATTAATGGGTTTCTTTCTCTTTGCACCTGAAGTTGTATGCTTCTAATTATCATTCATCTTTAGGCAAAACTACGTCACAAATATATTTATGGGTCTAATAATATTTGTGAATCAACTTTAATATTCATAATGGCAAACATGTTCAAAGCATTATCAATTTACATATGTTATTTAACATAACTAAATTGAATCACTTAATATACAGAATGAATAAATAAATACAAATTATACGATGCTAGCATTCATATTTAGCATAAGTGAAATGTTTTAAATTGTTATTTTTAAACTAAATAGAAGTAATGAAAATTAAAAAATAATTTTTCAAAATATTATTAGTTTATATTTTATAATGCAACTTATAACATTCATAATGTTATAGTGGATATGTAACAATGTCATATATATTATTGATTAATGTGAAATTAATCTAACCTTTATGTCAAATAAATATTTTATTTTAATAGAAGTATATCAATGATCATCATACAAATATTTCTATACTTTTTTATCTTGATTTAGTAAAGCACATATTTTTATGTGAAAATATATAACTTAATTACCAACTATGTTTATAATTACAAAGTTACATTAAGTACGTTAAACTAGTAAATTAAAGTATAAATAAAACTTAGAATATAAATCATAAAATAATTATAATTTTAAATTTTAAATTTTATCGCAGCTATAGGAAACACAATTGAAATATTATGAAAAAAATTTATATCCATATCATTGAAATCTATATTTTGAAATGTAAAATTTTAACTTATTTAATAAAATAATTATATTATTCACATGGATTAATTTAATTAGCAACTTGAAATTAAAATTTAGCTAAAATTTATTTTTCTTATTTCTTACATTAAAAAGTTTCTCTTTTTTAGAACATATAAAAAAACATTGCATTTGCTAATTGAATCATACATAATGTCGAACGTGTATCTTTCTACATTTGAAAAATATGATTAATACAATTTGTATCTAAAACTTCAATTTACCCAAGTTTTCAAGTGATATTATACAACATTAATTCAGGAGGTACGACTATTTACCCCTCATTTAGGGCTAATTGGCCTTCATTTTACTATACGGGTTGTAGGTTATGTGGGTAATAAACCTCGCGGGTTTTACTTCTTTCCGCTCTTCGTCCACAATGTCTCCGTGCGAAGAGCCACGTGAAACCCAGCGAAAAATAATATGCATCGTAAAGTTTAAACTTTATAACGACATGCCACAAACAAGAGAGTTGTTGCCACCCTCCTTGCTGGAGATCAATTTCAATAAAGTTTTCTCCTTCGGTGTAACTACGATTTAATTGACTTTGGTAATTATGCCCTGCATCTAGCCACAATAAGAGCCATCACTTAAGAACATATTGCCAACATTGTGCAATTTTTGGGATCTAATAACATTGTCAAATCTGTCTATCACAATTCGAAGATGATATTCTTGCTTGCAAGTCACAGGTATCATCCAAATGATACTTGTGACTTGTGTTTGTGATACTTGTGATCACGACACTTAGTGATTGAAAACTCAACGCTTACTCGGATTACGATTTTCATGAGCGTTCCAAGTTTGAACATAAACAACAAACGTACATGATATTTTTGCTAATTTATTCTCTTTAACAATCATAGCAAATAATGAAATCTTTTGATTTAATCAAAATTCTAAAAGTTCATCGATACTCAACATTTGAAGTACTGTAGACTATTTAATTTGGAGCTGGTGTTATCATAGCACGGAAATTTTTTTGACACACTTCAAACATATTTGTTAGTAGCAAGTTTTGGCGTATTACATGGAGTGCATAAAAGTTCTTCAAAAAATTTGACTTCCTACAAGTGTTAGTTATCTTGCGCAGGTCATTGACGACGATTGGACGAGAGAGTACGAGAGCGACAAACTCCACCCATACTAGGAGACATCATTCACAGCTGACCTCGAACGCGAAAGTGGCAGACATGGATTTGACGTGGCTCTTGCCATGGAGACATCATGGACGAAGAGTGGAAAGAAGTAAAACTTGCAAAGTTTATTACTCACCCCACTGAAACTATAACCCGGCGCCACCAATGAGTGAATAGCCTATAGTAGAGTGATGGCTAATTAGCCCTAAGTGAGTGATAACTAGCTGCACCCTAAATCAGACATCCAAGAAATGCAACTTGAAAAGTATATATTTACAGCTATACATGATTGCTTCTATTTGCTTTAGATTTCTTAAGAATATTTTCTTCAGTGCAGCTTGTTATGTGTGAGGTAGGATTAAGTACCACACTTAAAAGAGATAATACGAAAATGAGAAAAAATTTTGTTCTTAATCGGGTTTGTCAGTATAGCCACATTAAAGTTTAAAGTTCCAGATGAATATTTGCATGGTGAGGATAGGTGAAAATATTATCAACCATACCATTCCATGTCAAATTATCGAAGAACTCATAGTAAACTAGTTTGCTTTGGTACTAGTTTACTATATTGCCCTGAATCTGATTTCAATTTTCATCTTGAGAATACTTTGGTGCGAGTCTATACGAGTGTACTGCACACGGATTTAGTTTATGGTCATTTTTGTTGCTATGTTGAAAATTCTTATCAAAATCAGTAATTCTGAAATGGCCATCAAATCACCAATATTGTTCGTCTGAGTGACTAGTGACTACTAAAAGATACGCTACAGTTCCTACGAGGCGTACTGGGATAAGCATGTTGCGCCATGTGGAAAGTTATCTTCGTCTTTGTTGTAATCTGCAACGAGTTTGTTTGTTACGTCTATTTTCCAAATTCCGGCGAGCACAGAATGAGGGGCCAACTTTCCTGTAAGCAATAACTCCCGAAAGAACTTCCTATTTTCCTCTCGAGACACGTGGGGCACTGACGCGTTTGGATGTGGAATCCTTACTGACAAGTGTAAATTGTACGGAACACGTAGGATTGAGGAAAATATGAAGATCAGGTACGTAACCGCGAGCGCCTTCCCCGTGCCTGCTCAAGGCATGTTCGACAGTATCAGGGATATGTATTTTAACGAGCATGCATGGGAGCAAGCAGACGTGCAAAACCCATTAGATCTATTATATAGAAGGGGTAGGTTGAACCCTATGCCAGGGAGACATTTTTCCAGCACCTCGAAGAGTGTACAGTATGGTCTGGCACTAGGGAATATTAAATTATTATCAGTCATGCAATAGATCGAAAACCATTCTCAAGGAAGCGAAGTAATCTAAGAAGATTTGATAATGCAAGTTTATCAGTATATAGATGGCTCATACACGCTCGTGTAATTGTTGTACAAGTCATTCAAAATTATCGATTTAATCTTTCAATGTAAAATGGTCAAATTACAATTCTTGTATCTCCATAACTAACGGGACTTCAATACTTAGTACTTTGCTCTCAATTTCAATGGAATTTTGTGTGCCAAAGGAACTTTAGATAATTTTCTTACTATTTGACTCCCGTGTCAAATCTGAGATGACCGTTTCCAAATTCGAGACATGGATAGGTTGTTTGATGTTTCTATCTCATTTCTGATTCTGTTTCACCTGTATTGAGCTTTCACCACTTAAATCCATTGTGCCAACTGATACTTAAATATAAGGAAACATTCAACTTCAAGCAAAGACAAACATTAATGTGAAATAACTTAGTAGAGTTTGTGTCATTTGTCTTTTTTCATGGTCTCTGCTATACTCACTTATAATAAAAAAGAGATATATATATATATATATATATATATATATTTTACAACTTGATGTTCTTGCTTTGACGTCTGGGTAAAGTTGTATTAAAGTTAAAGTATCAAGTAACAATTTACCTGTAGCCTTTATACGTATCTGAATATAACTAATATGCGCGAGCAGATTATGAGAGCAATTTTTTGAAGATGTACAATGAAAGTTAGAGACATCTGAAAACGGGTTGCAAATATATACTTCTGTAGCAGATCAAAATCGACTGAGTTCGAAAACCACCACTTTATGGATTATGAGCTTGCATGGTTTATTGTGAACATTTGAAACTGGGAATGTGTTGTTGTCTGCTCCTGTTTCAGGGGTTTCAGTGTTTCATTTCCTTCAATGCATGGCCGTTATTCCTTTTCTGCTGGTTTCATGATGTATTTCAAGCTACGATGTCATCTACTCGATCAGCAAGCTCCTTGCTGGTGTCCGCTGTGCTCCATCTCATATGTACTTCGTCTATTGATCATGAACGAATCTTTCCTCCTAATTTATCTTTAGACCATTCGTCTGGTAGTATAATCGCAAGTTTCCAAAGACTAACATTTTTTCACTATTGAACAATGGCTAAACATCAATGTTGCGGCAAATCCATATTCAGTGAATATTGTCTATACCTTCGCACATCACTGCAATGCCTGTGCTAAACGAAGTCCGAAAATGGATGTGCTAGTCCCGAGATTTGAAATTCATGCTGGTGCGCAATATTCCAGAGTCATAAAAATAGAACAATAAAGAAAAGGAATAAGAACAAACTTTAGAGTCAGTGATGGATGTACAACATATGTCACACGTGTTGTGATTCTTTACGTGAGTATGCTTCGAGGCGGCTGTGGTCACCGTACTTAACTGACTGTTTTCATTGATTTCGATCACGGGCCGGTTCGGAATCGTGAAGGAGCTGCACAGAAACGGGTGCTACTTTCAACGTGTCTGTAGTTCAAGTGCCACCGTTCCCCGACAAGACTGTCATCTGCTTATTGACGTTGTGAGTTCCATCATTGACACCGGAGATCATAAGGTGAGAATGATCGGCGATGCAATTGGTAGCGATTGCATGAGGAGAGCAAGGTTTTAGCCATCTCGCGTTTATCATGAATGTTATGTAAAGTCTCGTAATTTATTACATGCCAAAATGCTGTTCCTCGTTCTGCCAGCTTTTGCATTATTTCTTGGGAATTTGACATTCAATCTGGAAATTTGGCACAGGAGAAAATGAATCTGGATAGAAGAGAGGAGCAAATGGCTCAGCATCTGCAGAACGACATGTCTGAAACAGAGGTATTTTGGAAAGGTAACAGCGAGAAGGAATCAACCAATCACTCGGGAGGGCATGAATCTGAATTTGCAGATCTGGAGTACTTGAGAGGATTTGGAAATCACTTCACAACTGAGGCCTTGAAGGGAGCTTTGCCTGAAGGACAAAACAGTCCTTTGAATTGTCCATACGGGCTGTACGCCGAACAGATATCTGGCACCGCCTTCACAGTTCCTCGGAAATATAACCAGAAGAGGTTGGTCTGCCAAATCAAGATCTTGCTTTCAATTGTAACTTTCAGTATTCGGGAAGGGGTAATTAGTGGCATCTTACAATGTGTTGGACATTTGCCTACTAAGTGGATTATTGGAGAGCTGGTTGTTGGCCAATCCCACATCTCTAAGTCATGTTATGCTAAGGAGCTGGTTGATTGAATTGAACTAGAGATAGTATCATATATTGGAATGAGTACATGAGCATGAAACAGGCTTTAGTTGTCTTTTGGTGGCTATGACCTGAATTCAATCCGAACGCTGGTGACCGATTGACATTTTGGTCCACAGCTGGCTGTATCGCATAAAGCCGTCTGTGACTCATGAGCCCTTCTGTCCGCGACAACCTGCCCACGAAAATCTCATGAGCGATTTTACCGATTCGTCAAATTCTACTGTTACGCCCACTCAATTGCGATGGAAACCTGAGGACATTCCCGAAGTTAAAACAGACTTCATAGATGGGTTGTTCACTATTTGTGGAGCCGGGAGCCCATTTCTTCGACATGGATATGCTGTTCACATGTAAGACTTCAGATGGACCTGTAAAGTATAAGCAGAGTGGTCAGGTGTTTGTTTGGAGACTACACTTGATTTGCCAGAAAGCCAACAGAACTCTAATTGACGCTTATGTCGAGTGGTGACTTCTGAAACTGAAGTTTGCATATATGAATGTGTCCTGAGTTTAGCGTTTTTCCATCACAGGTATGCAGCCAACGCATCCATGGAAAATTGTGCCTTGGCAAACGCAGATGGTGATTTTCTTATCGTTCCACAGCAAGGAAGTAAGTTCATTGTATTGTTGTCGGAATTAAAGTTGAAATTATCGACAGTGAGGCTCTACAGAACTTGGGCTGTTGAAACATAGAGCATTGTTCCAAGTTTAAAGCCATTGGGGTAGTAACTTTAGCTATTACGTTGTACGGACATGTTTCTTTTATGGAAACAGCTGACTCTGTAAGGCTAACTTGAGGTTCCTACGATATACGCAGAGTCATAAAGGTTAATGCAACAAAGAGAGCAATCATACGGCGAGTATCTTGTCTGGCCTGATTCTCTCCCTTTCCTACAATTCTGACATCGAAAACTATGATCGATTGAAGAGTTGCTTCAAATGAGATAACAGTCTTCTTTTGTTGTAGAATTTGATCTCTCAAATGTTGTTCTTCCAGGATTGTGGATTAAAACTGAAAGCGGAAAACTGCAAGTCTCTCCAGGGGAGGTAGTTGTACTACCGCATGGTTTTCGATTTTCAATTGCATTGCCAGATGGACCTTCTCGGGGTTATATTGTGGAGGTTTACAGTGGCCATTTTCAGCTTCCGGATCTGGGGCCAATAGGTACACAAGCTATCGGTTTTTTATGTTAACTGAAGTTCCAGCTTCTGTTGTATGTACTTAGATTCCTGTCGGTCTTTATAATTTCAATTTGAATGTTTTAGAAATTATATCTTGTTGGACCTTTTGGATTTGCAGCTCGTTCGTATCTACCAGGCTGACAAAAGTTACTCCCATGGCACGCAGGAGCAAATGGTTTAGCAGAGCCGAGAGATTTCCTTACACCAGTGGCATGGTTCGAGGACGAAAATATTTCTGGTTATACCATCATCCACAAATTTGGTGGACAACTCTTTCAGAGCAAACAAGACTTCTCGCCTTTTAACGTTGTTGCCTGGCAGGGTAACTATGCACCTTATAAGGTAACTCAGCAAAGCTCACAATTATTGCTATGCGTAAAGCATTTCAGTCAGCTCAGCGGCGAGAGTACAAAGTTTAGGACTTTACTCTATATGCGCCGATCAGTTTGTGTAAGTTTGTCTTATATTGGCGTTCATATTTACATATTTGATTTGTTGTCATTGCACTCTTCCAAATTGATGAGAAGTGTGTTATTTCTGTTAGTGCTTGAACACGACGACACATTGAGCTAATGACACTGGTTGATTTTATTTCACATACTGCGCAGTATGATTTGAGGAAGTTTTGTCCTTTCAATACAGTCCTCTTCGACCATGCAGATCCTTGTATAAATACAGGTGGATGTTCTTCAATCCCGACTGGGCTTAAATATATAAAGTTCCAATTTTAGAAGTTGTACGTTCAGAATTCCAAATGTCTGAAGCCGTTTTTCGTAAGATGTTATCACAAAAAAGTGTGTACGAAGAAGGTCTCTTAGTAACTGTATTTGTTATTCTGACCGCAATAGCATGTTGTTCCTTTCGATGCAGTCTTAACGGTGCCATCTGAAAAACCTGGAGTAGCTGTTGTGGACTTGGTAGTATTTCCACCTCGCTGGCTCGTGGCAGAGCATACTTTCCGGCCTCCATATTTCCATCGCAATTGCATGAGTGAATTCATGGGTCTTATCTGTGGAACCTATGAGGTAAGACTATTCTTCCAGGCCCTTACCCAAGGCTCCATACATAATATAGCTCAGGGCATCAGTCAGATGTTTGATCAGCCTTCAAAGAAACGGGTGAATTGGCATGGAAGTTGATATTATAAATTTGCATGAAACATTAGTTTGCACGACTTTGAGTTGCAGGGCAAAGCAGACGGATTTCTACCTGGAGGTGGTAGCTTGCACAACTGTATGAGTCCTCACGGTGTAGATACTCCTACTTACGAGGTGAGATGATCGTTCTTAATACTCGAATGGTGGAACATGCTACTTCCAAAGCCACACTTCAATCTCAGGGCGGGTTTGTCTGATTTCAGGGGAGAGTGTTGCTGTATCTACTCCATTACAATAATTGGTGATATTCATTGAACCCCTCTTGTGGCTGATATACTCTTCATATACAGGGTCCAGTTTACTGTGTTTTGTTGGGCTCAGTGACTCGAGAGATCAGAATTCTTTCTCTGCGATCAAAGTTTTCTTTCTTTCTTATCGTTGCCTGTTTTGACCCAGCATTCCTATTGTCAACTCTACGCTCTTCACTTCGAAATAATCCGATCGACTGTTCCTCCTTTATCCCTCTTTTCTTCCTCTTTATTTTTTTTGTAAGTACTTGGTATGTGTTAACGCTAAGCCAGAGTGCTGGCAACATGTTTTTCAGGCTGATAGGCAGATACCAGTTCAGCATCCTAATTGCCTGAACATGTTTTTTATTAATATTTGCTCAACTTTGCCCAGAACGGTATTTGCTTGTTTTGTATGGTTTATTTTCTGGTTGAATCTCATGCAATAGTTGCCATATGTTTCTTCTTTTATGCTACTCAAGCTTGCCCAGTATGTAACATGCTTGTTTTGTTTGTTCTATTTGCTGTTTCAGTTCTATGCTATGCTTGAAGATGTCCTCCTTCATCCCTCCCTCAACTATGCTCCAAAATAATTTTTGCTTCAACCTGAACTGCAAATTCGACCTCTGTTGTCTCCTAACCCTATCTATTTCTTAAAGTGGACTCGCCGATTTCCCCCAGTTCTTATCTAAGCATCTGCATCCATATCTTTCCTGAATGAGTTGTCAGTGACGTTTTCGTGGGTCTAATATCTATTGAGTCTATATAGGCAGACACTGATTACTTTGTGTAAGCTTATGTGCAAATTTGTGCCGGCAGCTAGTTCTAGTTACAGAGTCTGTATTTTGATGTGCTTACGTTTTCTTTTACTACCACACGTGATAGACCTTATTGCATTCTGATATACATTTTGGTAACTTATGATATGCTTGTGTTGGGAGCTCGTTCTTAACCTGCTGAAACGCCCATGTGTATTTTTGTGGTTTTTCATTTTATAAGCGATTAAAGGGTTCGGTGTAACATGTGGACTCCTGGAAGTCTGAGTGAACTTTGTTTTTCCCACATCAATTCTGATGTCTAACACATTCAACGCACTGATTTCATCCAACGTTCCATTGCAGAAAGCGATTTCAGAAGAACCGAGGCCATCGAAGATTGAAGGAGATACTCTTGCGTTCATGTTTGAATCATGTTTGATACCTCGAGTGACGTTTCGAGCTATGGATTCTCCTAAGCGCGATCTCGATTATTACAAAGGGTGGATTGGTCTGCGTTCGCATTTTGATCGCAATAATACTCCTGAAGGCGTTCGAAGATGTACATGAGGATATGACGAGGTTATGCTCTGGAATCTGTACATATCGTCATATGTAGTGTAAAGTCATACTAGAATTAGTTCCTGATTCTGATAACATAAATTCACTGTTAACTGTTTAGTTTGTAAATATCATTTAAATGTATTGTAAGAATCAAGCTCATAATGTTGTCGATCACTACTTCTGGTTAGTACTAGTCCTGGCTGTCTTACTGAGAACGGAGATACGTGTTGTAGTGCATAATACTCAGAGCGTCAGCGACATAAGGAAGAACTGAGCTACATATATTGTGGTGTCTCTCATGCTTTAGTTCTTGATATAGTACATAAAACCTTGATAAGGACATTCTAGCATTTCTGTATCACCGTTATTGTATCTTATGTGCCTCAATGCTCCCCATTTTGCTCTTTTCGTCTAGTCCATACTTCACGTAGCCTTATTGCGAATCATCCAAAATACGTACAATGCCTGTCGATACATATGATTATTGGTATTTTATACAATCTCATTCCGGAAAGCTTGTATGTATGTATGTAAGGGCATATTGCTAGGTATGGTCGGATTTGTTTTAGCCGATAAGTTTTTGGTTTGGACGGATGGATTTGGTATTATTAAGAAAACGATGGAAGTAAGATAAAACGAACTGGTAAAGGGTTATTAGAACTGAGGTGTCCATAAGAATAGACCTCGATGGATTACCCTATGGAGTTGTTGAGAATGTGCCAGGATCAGACTGTCGAGAGCTGGTAGAAACATGATGTTGGGACAGACAGATGTCGGCGCGGAGGAAGGTGCCAATGTGGAGAATTGTGCTTCTCATCTTTATTACAGATTGGACTCCAGCCCAATTGTTGAGGTTGAAGACTTTGGGAGCAGCGTTTTTTCATGGCTGAAGTACTACGTGTGCCTGGAGTTGTCCAAATAAGTGCGATGAGAGAGAAAGGTTTCAGCGAAGGAAACAGATGAAACCAGATGCATTGCAAGTGATCATGGACAAAAGCGCCGGGCCAAAAAAAAGGAGAACTCGAAGGTCGAGTTGACTAGGGTTTAGGGTTAGGGTTTAGGGTTAGGCATTGCACATGTAATCGATTTTGATGAGGTCAAATGGTTCACAAATACGAGAGATAGTGGACAATTGGTTACAGATTGATGTGAATAAAGATGTGTTTGCGAAAAGCATCGTGGATATGTTTTGAATTAGTTGTTCTAGTGGGAGGTACGAAAGATGTCTATATGGATAAGATGGGGATAGAAGGGTTTCGTAAGATAACCCTTTCAGACCAAGCGGGGGAATATATTTGCGAAGAACGGGCAAGCACTTGGTTTTGTCTAAGCCGGAGGATCATTTGCTTGGCACATTCAAGCATTTTGTAGTGCATATTGGCATGAATGCGCACTTGGTTGAAAGACACGAGAATAGTTCAATACATAGGGTTCTAAACAACGAATGCGTTTGCAAGGTTGGAGTGGTTGACATCGAAGTATGGTGATAACACTAGGAGTGTGCTGTAAGACTCTAGACATAAACCATGCGTCATAACAGATATTGTTCAATCATGATTACAGGTTCACTTTTATCAAAATTCGTGTTATATAGGAGATTTTTTGCGCCTAAGTCTTACTCCAGCATACACAAATCACATGGATTTTCTTCTTCTAATCTCTAGCTGCGTATCTTTGATTCTTGATTGCATCTCCACCGAAGAACAAATGTGTTGACTTCCATAGGCAATTTCCAGCACATTTTCCGGAGTTTCCTCTTCAAGTAGACTCATTTTCTCTCAGACATCTCTTTCTAGCCCTCAGTGCATTTCCTTGTGTCAATCCTTGGTATCTTTTAGGTTTTCTTGTCTCTATCAATTTAAGAATCTTGAAAAAAAAACATGTGTTATTTATCTCGATGTGATTCCCGATAACGACCAAGCGCTTGCAGTCTTCCGAGAACATTCGAAGATGCATGCGCTAGCCTTTCTAGCCAAGGGCTCAATGGTGGACAAAATGCATCATAATGTTGAATTTCATGGTTGCCTTTAGAATACTAAACGAAAAAAATAATACAAGAATGAAGTCCTGACATACAGTTAAGTTAATGCATGAATTCGACCAAACTCTTTGCCAAGAAGCCTAGAAATACGCTGAAGAAGGGAAGGTCATATCCTAATCCCTCATAAATACTTCTTATATCACTCGGATCATCATCTCTCAAAGGATTAAATGATTGTGTCAATATCCAGCCAACGCTCCTCCAATCACACACACATTACAAAACTGAAACAATTATTTTTGAAAATAGCTCTCAACTAATCAATAAATAGGCTTTCATTCTGGATTACAAAATGGTTCACGTTGCAATTGTTACACGAAGTCCGACAGCTCACACCAATGCAAACTCATGCATTCAAGCCCTACATTTTTCACATGGTTTAATTCAAATATAAATAGCAGAGATTTAGAAGCATTAGATTCTGTTCTATAAAGTAAACACCCACTGTTCTACACCTAACTCTTGTTACTTCTATAATTAAGAACAAAAAGTAAAACTTAAAATTAAGTTTTACTTTTTGTTCAGAGCGATAAAATCAAGATGTGGGAACTAAGTATGTGGATGTTTTGTTTCTGAAATGAATTCCATGTCCAAAGGTTTTGTCCCCTGTAGTTGATGATACAGTGACATCTATCGCTTGAATTATAAGACAAGTCAGAAAGCTTGCCAGAACTCTATGCGAGCCATTGAGATGGGAAGTGGAATTCATTTCAGGGCTGACACGACCCCATACTTGCCACCGTCATCCCTAAATTGTGCAAAATGGCTTGATTCACTTTAAGCTGAGCTTGTCTTGTTTATGAAGCCTTGGAGTTTTTGGGAATGCACAATTTACGATCTTCTATATGTCTTTTTGGTGTTTTTTCCATATCATCAGGAGATTTTATAACCTGTTGCAGATGATGCAACTGTTCCTCCTCTTTTATATCGCATCTATGGCAAAGAACTTGTGCATATCTACCCACTAACTTTTCAACCGCTGCTCCATCTTAAATCCTTAAAACTATTGGATCTTTGTTTCTCATCATTTGCCTTAAACATATCGAATTCTCTGTCCTTTCTCATATGCGATCGTCGCTTGTTGAGTCTCCTTCTCTAACTAATGCTTTTCAAGATTCATTATAATATTAAGCAACTACTTAATTGTATGAGCTTGATCATGCTAAATTTGGGCAGCGCAATCCATCACACAAAGTTTTTCAATGCATGCTCTCTATTTAGGCTTCCATATTTGTACTTCACATCCAGTTCACTCAACACTATGAAATGTGCTAGTGTTTGATCTTTTTGATGAGGATTAACTAGAAAGAAACTGAATTGATACTTGAGAATTTCGCAAACAAGACTTCCTTACTTTACTTTCAACGTTGTTGCTTGGCAAGGTAACTATGCACCCTGAAGGTCTAGTGAATGTTTTTGTTTTTCTGACCGCATGGGCATGTTGTTGGTCTCCATGCAATGATAACCGTTACCTGTGAAAAACCTGGAGTAGCTGTAATGGACTTGGTAGTGTTTACATCTCTCGCTGATGATGGCAGATAGGCCTCGGCAAGGTAAGGTAACCTTTGAGGGTAACGCGGTAAAAGTGTAAAAGGTAAGGGTAAAGGTAGAGGTTTGGCTATAGGGTAGGGTAAAGGTAACGTAAAGTTAGAGCCTTATAGATTACCCGGTAATCACCAGGTAACCCTCTTAATCGCGAAAAATAAAAATGTGTACATTTTCAAAAATTTTCAAAATATAATTCTGCACATTCAACTGAAACGATCCGGGTAAACCGTATTAAATAGGTATTTACCTTTACCTTGTACCCTTTAGGGTAGAGGTAATAGGGTAATTAGCCGATAACCCTAATGTAAAAGTAATTTTTGAATCTTTTAGAATCCATATCGGGTAACTCGGTAATTACCCTGAGGTAAAAGTAAAAGGTAAAGGTAGACTATTGTGACACGAGTAAGGTAAAAGGTTGGGTAAAGGTAGAGACCCATGGCTTACTCGGTTACCTTTTACGTTACCTTGCCGAGACCTAATGGCAGAGTATTTCTATCGCAATTGCATCAGTCAATTCATGCTTCTTATTTGTGGAGGAGTGTGGGATTATTCCCCTTTTACAGTCATATTGGGTTATTAAAAAATCATCAAGAAAATTAGCAATCGAGCATAATAGCTCGATTGCTAATTTTCTCTGTCCAGGCATGAGCATAATAGCTTGTGCCGGACCGAGATGGCGCCGCTAAGAAGGCCTGCACGTTGTTGCGTTTCAGCAAGTGCCGCCTGTATCTCCATAAGTAGGTCCCTCCTCGCGAGGTCTGCAAACTTGGAGTTAACTCCAAAACAAAAGAATTGCTACGATGAAGAAGGTGGGATCTATCCAAAATCCTCAATGGTAATACGAGTGTTGAGTGGAACAACTATCGATAGTAATACTTACAAACCATTAAATTTTTTATCTTATTTACTTAAAGTGTCATTTGGCAAGATTAGATAGCGTGCCTTCTTGCATGGAGATGAAATTAAATCTGCATTAAATCGTAAAGAAAACAAAGAGTATCAGCGCATTTTATTAATTCGATAGAAATTCATCTCTATGCATACATGTGATATTGTGGGCTCAAATGCTCGGGAAAAAATGCTTTATCAAGAAGTATCTATACGAATCAATGTTCATGCATCTTTGAAGATCAACAAGCATCTTTGATCTTATCCGCAAAGAAAAAGATTAAATAGATACAAATTAATTTTAGCAACATTTTGTTTTGACAGAGTGATTTGTATATATTGGGTTTTCTTTTTCCCACCTAAGCCTTATATCTATATCTAGTCTTTATAAGTTGCTGGTTGTGATGGAATTTGTGACTGAAACTGGGATTATCAATTGGGAGGAATTTTGTGCAGTATGTGCAGAACTTGAAAAGTGCATGCGAGCAAACAAGTACAAAATGACTTGCATTTCATCGTTTTTACTGTAAATGTATGTTTGCCAGAATCTACTAAATCTCCATAAACTACAATAATATCAAATTAGAGATAATATATATGCGGATGAGTTGGTTGGATATTTGTATAGAAATCCATCCACAAGCTATTAAATATCTGATCTGGTGAAGCAAGCCGTCTGACCAAGTTGAAGTGGATACGTTAAAGAGGAATTAGAAGAGTTAATCAAGACTCTAAGCCAAAATCCACCCAACCAACGGATGAAGCAACGTCTAGCTTTATACATCAACCATTGACAAGAATGAATATGGAAAGTGCTTGTGTGAAAGATGAGAACTCTAACTTCATCCTTCTCACTTGGGTGGTTCAGAGAACAAACAGATTCCTTTTTGGAGATGCGCATAATAATGAAGGAGAGTAGGATGACCAGGTCTATACAACTCAACCGATATACAAAATTCACCGTTACATTTGTCTTGTTGGAGTTAGATTAATTAACATCTCTGTCTTACATAAATTTTTTGGAGATTATGTTAGAGTTGATGCAAGCTATGCATATTCTCACTAGAGAGTACCCTCTTCATTTTATTCTTTCCCGTCTTGATGACGCCACTTCTCTTGAACTATTTTGCTTCAAATTTTAATTTGTAGCTCATTGCATTTACTAAATCTTCTTTTAAGAACTTCTTAGTAAGAACATACATAGCTAACATCTTTTAGCTTAATCTTCATGATGAACTTATCCGTCTGAACTGTCTAGCATAAATGTGACTTATCATCTTGATGATGTTTCACATTCTAAATATAGTTTGCAAGGATTTGCTATAGGTGTAACTAGGCCTAAGGTAATCTTTTAGGGTTACCCGGTAAAAGGTAGAGGTAAAAGTTAAAGGCTGGGCTACAAATAAGGTAACGGCTAAGGTAAAGGTAGAGCTGAATGGATTACCAAGTAATTATCGGGCAAACTTTTATCATTGCAAAAGACAGAGTTCATTTCGCGGCTCTTCGAAGCGTGAAGCAAATTGTCGAAGCAAAATAAAACAAGTCAAAGCGTCAAAGTGTGAAGCCAGTAATTCGTAAACCCTAAATTACGGGTAACTGGGTAAATTACCCTATAGCTTAGCCTTTACCTCTATTTTTTACCAATTTACCGAGTAACCGGGTTTATTACCCTAAGGTAAAGGTAGAGGTAAAGGTAGATAGTAGTGCTGCGGTTAAGGTAAAAGGTAAGGTAAAGGAAAAGGCTCATGCATTAACTGGCAACCTTTTACCTTACCTTGCCGAGAACTAGGTGTAACCTTGAATATCTCGCATGTGTTACTAATAAAGGCGACGGATTTCTCGCCTGTTCAGCACTTTGTTTGTAACGATTCTCACGGTTGATTGAAGGCCGCACGCTTAGCTGATAAGAGAAAAAAAAAGATAAATGCTTGACAGTTCAAACTAAATAATTTGCAAGTGAAGTTGTGTAAGTATTAGGCATATAGATACTAGTCAAGTTGAAAAGAAGATACTTGTGCATGTCTTATATGCTTACATGAAAAAATTGTTGCTTTTTTTCGTTTGTACTTAATGATCTAATTCTTGTGTCATGACCATATCACTTTAAATGCGGCGTTTCGGACCCAAACGCCGCAACTAATCTCATTTTAACTTGTCCGTGGCACTGCAATTAGGACTACCCGTGGCGGTGCTCGATTTGATTTCATTCTTGTTGCGTCCGTGCAATGGCTCCGAAACGTGCTACTCCATTCAGTTCTGAGCATGCTTAACAGTTTGGTGTGAAGATCGTCGAGCGTGATTCTGCGACGAAGGCAGTGGTATCAGCGTCTTGTCTCTTTTGTGCTCATTTCGGGCGGGAGGAGAAAATCAGCTCGAACTGCAACTGCACTGTCAATGTGATGTACTTCAAGAAGTCATTTTGTGCCGACATGTACCTTAAACACATGAGTTTGCAGCATCCCTTGCGCTGAAAAGAGTACTCTGCCCTTAGCTAGAGCGAGAATGCGTCTTATTTTGATACGAATGTTTCCGTTGTTCATCGCAACACCATCAAATCACACTTTGATGGTTCGCAAGTTCCTATCTAGTTGTTTGTTGAGAAGAGCATCGTCGATGTTATCATTGGCGATATGCTTTTTCAGGATGGCGATAGTAATGAGGAGCTCACGAAAGAACCCGCTCTCAGTATTTTTGAGGACGTTCTTGATCCTTCGGAAGTCAATTGCGATGGCTGTGATGATGCAGCCGATGTATCTACTGCGAGATATCGCATTCACTTGAAGAACCTTGCCCAGTTTTATCTCATTTCTGACTACCTCAGCGTAGGAGCGTCATTTAGAATGGTTTCACGAATCCTGGCGATGACCAAGGAGAGCACTAGCTTGGCATCACTGGTATCTGTGTCTGAAGGAAAGGTGGATGCCTTCGCTCGATATGTGTGTGCGCTCAACCTTCAATCGTTGAAGGATCTGCTGGCTCGTGTCTGGACATTTTTTGTGGCGATGGATATGTCCATCCATATGGCCACTTCATATCTCAACATTCGCATTCGCTTGCATAGGAAAAGCAGCATTCTGAACTTCCACTTGCTCGCAATTCCGATGTTTTCTCGACACACGGGTGAACAGATTTTCCTACATGCTGCGAAGGCTTTGGATGTGCTCGCCCTTTCTTGGAAGAAGCTGATTCTTTCAATCTCTACAGATGGCGAGCGCAAGATGACAGGAAGTGTTTAAGGCGTAGCAACTCGCTTCGGGCAGTCTGCTCTGCTAGGCTTTTACCGCATTTGTTGCGGTCAAGCTGGACATCCAGCTGGACATCAAGCTGCAATGCTTTTTCGCGTCTTTGATGTATGAGCAGTTTTATTCCAGTCTCACTTCGTTGATCTCGTACTTACGCAGGCAACAGAATCTTATTAATGATATGAAGATCAAGGCACCTACCGTTTCAAATATTCGATGGGAGTCAATGGGCAAAGTGGCTATCTGGTTCAAGACGAATCGTGTGGGTATGTTAGCGTATCTCCTTCTGTGGCACCATCTCCGTTGTGGTGGATTGTTCTTATGTTTATAGAGAAGATCTCGGCTGAAGCGACGATTACTTTTCGCAGCCTCGAAGGACTTACGACGATAGTGTCAAAGCAGCGTGAAGGTCTGCAACGTTTGCATGATGTTTACATACGCTTGTTCAAGGCGTCTCAGCCACTATCTGTGGAAGACACAAATGCTGTTGATCATGGAATTTCAGTCCTTTCCGAAGATTACCGGTATTCGCTGCAACTTTCTGATGTCACAGAAGTGCTGGAGGACCTTGGCCTATTCGTCGCGGGCAAGATTGAAGGAACTAGTGCGGAAGCGATGGCGTAACTTGTAAAAGATCTTGCTGTCTGCAAAGTGAACCTTATTGCGGGCGTGATTTCTATCGTCGCCGAGCGTGACTCGTCAAACAAGGCTGCCGCGGAAATGCCCCATGTGCTTCCTCACCAGCTGGTCATGCTTCGAGGCCGAGAGTTGAGTGACATTTTGAAAATTCAAACCCCTCGCTTGCGGACGACTTGCTCGATTACCGAAATCGATATCATTGAGCAGGAGTTCGCACAACTGCAGTCGGCTTATCATCGCGAGAGCTCTTTCAAAGCTATGCTGGATGCGTGTGGTCCCCATACCTCCTTCAAGGAAGATTGGAAGCTGACTCAAGATCGGTTTTGCTTTCTGCAAGAGTTTTGTGGCACTCGCAACAGCTTTTCCCGGCACCTCAACTGTGGAAAGCGATTTCTCGATTGTGAAGTGGGAGAAGGATGTTGGCAGAGCCTCATTGACAGACTTCTCTTTGGAAGTAATCCTACATGCCAAGCAGTTCAATCAGATGCGGTCCATTAACGTCCAATAAAATTGAGGGACGTCAGCTTTCAGCTTCTGAGAAATCGGCAAATGATTTAAGATCTCGATCGGTCAATTTGTATGATTTTGTGTGAAGGCCGCAATTAGCCACATTTGCGTTTCCTGGCGAGCCGCAATTAAGCTAATTGCGGTAATTGCGGCATATGCCGCATATAAAGTGCCATGGTCATGACTCATGTAAAGATTTCTAGCAAGAAGGCTGGAACATGCGAGTTGGCAATTTCTGTATGAAATACTTTATTTTCACTGCAAGAAAGAGTTATAGTGACAAGATATTATCAACAACAACTTATAGCACACCATGCGAGACCCTATTAAGTGTGCCGGGCATAGAGCTTACCTAAAGCTCGTGTAAATGGAAGGGAACCACAACATGCTCTAAAAGCGTAGTTGAGGGGTATAGATATCTTAAGGTGAATATCTGGTGAACAGAAAAATTTAGAAAGAAATTTTTGACATTAAGGTTCACAATATAGAATCTAAAGTTTTTTCTCCTTCGTCAAACAATCACAAGTTTTACAAGATTTTTAACGCTTTTTAATCATACAAGATGAAATGAAATGCATTTTGATGATGAAACATTTGACTTTACCAGGTATAATGAATGTACTGATTAATTTTTGTGAGAAGACTTAATGAAAAACAGTTTGAACTCAATCATGTTTAAAAATTGATTTTTGCTAAGAGTTTGCAATGTACTATAATGATAAAAATAACATTCGATGATTGTATATAAGGTGATGTTCAGTTGAAAATTATAAGTTATCAAGCAATTGAATGAACACAAAAATTATATCAATCTCCTTAAATTTAACAAAAATAATATTTGAAAAATTATATAATAGTTTCTATTTATAAAAAAAATGTGTTAGATCATGTATACAAGCAAACATGCATTCACACCATAATTGATAAAAATATAAAACATCATATACATTTATATATAATGTGTTTATCACTCTGAATCAATTTCACAAGATTATCTCACGTTTTATCAAAAAATAATTCTTAAAATTATCACGAAAGCTTTGATGAACTTTTAGTAGGCTTGTCAATCTATCACTACACGAAAGAGCACATCAAAGCTCTTTCACATAGAAATGGCCTAATTAGTTTAACTAATCAAATTCAAATTCATCAAAATTAAATCAAGATTTCAATATAAATAATATCTTTTGACACTCTTTGGAAATAAGAGCTAATTAACAAACATAGATAAAATTGATCTAGAGATTTATAAGCTTTTTTTATAAAAAATGATCATATGACAGCTTTTTATGTTGAAGCTCACAAATTCAAAATAAAGTTTGAGTGTGTACATAGTGATATCTGAAATTAATTATTATTTTTTGTTTTAAAAAAATTATATCATGTTTCATTTATTGATGATTATTGTAGATTTATGTGGATTTAATTTATTTATGCCAAAATTTTGAAAAAACTCAAATAATCTTGTAAACAATTAAATCTCTTGTTCTTGTGAAAAAGCCTAATTTGTATCTACAAGATGAAGTGAAATATTGCTATGAAGATAGCTGGTTTCAATGTAAAAATTGATTTGTAGATTGCTTAAATCATAAATAAAATAAATAAAAACACAAGGATTTGATTACATTAATGTGTATAATTCTTGTGTATAAAAAGATTTTTAAATTTATTAGCCTTATATTTTATTTGAATGATATGCTCATTTTGGCAAAATTAATTAACCTATGCAAAAATCAACTAAAATCTACATTCAAGATGAAGATTCATATTTCTTCATTTTGAATTTGGATAAATGTATTTGTATAAAGTATGAATGTTCATAAAAGTTTAATGAACTTAAGACTAGGGTTGAATAGAGATTGTGATAACCAACAATTACCAAAATGGAACATAGTGGTAAAGATTCGTTTCCATAGAGACAGATGCAACACCAAAGAGTCAAGATTTGTCATTAATTAACCTTCTATTGAAGAGTTTTACTTCTCAAGCACATGTCACTCTCAGAAAACACTCCTTAACGATGGCCGACAGTCTGAATAGCAGAGTATAGTCAACCACACAACCTGAAACTTATCCAAACAACACCTGCAAGAATCAAATTCGTACCCACACTTAGATTTTAAAGGAAAACTTCCCAAAATTGCATATTCTCAGCCTACTGACCCAAATGCCTAGACTCGAATTTGCTTAAATTCCGAATAGCCCCAGACATACTCTAAACATCCAAATCGGGCACTCGTAGCTTCAGATGCGGTAACTTTGACAAACCAAAGCGCACCATGAACACACAAGCTCACAAAAGCGCATGACAGACTCAGGTTGACTGACAGCCAGGACGAAACAATGGACAAAAAAAGCCCCCAAGGAAAGAGCCTTGAGTTTCTTTATTTACATTATTTCTGTATTGATGTGTGTGTGATTGTGTTCAACTTATGATTATGCACTTTTCTTGGTATGAAAAAACCAAAAATATTTCAGGTATTATTTGAAAAAAAATTTAGTTTTTTTTGATAGAAACATTTAGTCAATTAAAATTTATAATACAAATTATGTTGTTGATGTGTTTACAAGAGTTATTATTTTAGCCAATTTTTCAACAAATTGTGACAGATTTAAAACTTGCATATGGATACAGGTAGACTGAACTAACAATTATCTTCATATATGATTTTGACTTGTTTTGACTACAACTTGGTAACAATAATTTGTTGATTCTGGACACTTGGTTTATATTACTTTCTTTCAAAAAATTTCAAAGAATAATCACATAGCTAAATCTCAAACTTACATCAATGAGTTCTTCAATATATAATATAATTGAAAGAAAGACCAATTATTTATATAAAGATTGATATGGTCTTATAAATTTATAATTTTGATAGTTTAATTCACAAAAAAATAGAATACAAAAACAGAAGAGTGAGAATCACAAATTTGAAAATCAAATGTATAGAATGAAAGCAGGATTAAGACTGAACTTATTGTACCGATAATGTTAATTTGATATATAGTTATATATCCGAAACATATAATGTTTAGAGAAAGTCTGGCTTATAAAATCAGAGTTCTGTTACTACTCTATTGTAATAACTTCACTTGCACTCTTCAAGAACAACTGTCTTCTTTTGATTCAATCAAAATTTACAGAAAGTGCCAATCCAAAAGATGTTTTTTTAATTTGTCCTTTTGCATCTAACATTGATATGTTAGCTCCTAGGTCAATATGTTAACCCTGCTGCCATTTCTTTTTCCAACTTTGAAGCCTGCCAAATAAGTTCGTTTTATTTCCATTTTCCATGTTAGCTTTCTCATTTCCTTGTTCTTCTCGTCTTTTTCTCTCTTCGACTCGCTGTGGCCTGTAACAGGCTTGAAGACTGTACAAGTGTTTACTCATCTTACTGCATCTCTAGTCACTTGGCTGATTATCGTTTTGATGCTGCAATTTGGATCATGGAACGACTTCGAGATTAATAATCTGCATTGTCTTGGTGTTTCACGGAAAGCATAGGCCATAGTATAAAGTCGTAAGTTACGACTTTATACTATGGCTCATGCTTATGACTTCATACGACTGTGACTCCATGTGCCTTCTCTTACGACTCCTAAGAGAAGGCACATGATGGGGCAGTTCGACGGAAAGGAGATAGGTGTGAACTTACTAGGGAAGAAATTGAATCCTACAAACTTCGTAGTTAGTACTTTTTGCTATCAGCTCGTAAGAATGAACTGGAAATAACTAGGGTATTAAAAAGCACAAATGCAAGAGCAGGGGAAGATGTTGGGTACAAAAGAGGTCATACATTTGGAGCCAAATCTCAGCTTGGTGTGGACCTGCCTTGAGCTTGTATGAGATTCGCCTTTGTCATTGCCTTTCACCCATGTTGTAATACATTTCAGGGGAGAAACCTGATGATTCGTCATCTTTCTGCCCATGTGGGGCATTTCGTGAAAGTCGCGGAAGTCAAGATTTTCTGCAATGAAGTTGTATTGCACGGAACAATGATCACCAAGTTTCTACGCTTTTGGGATTTTGTTTGATTTAGTTCAATTCTCTTTTATCCTACACAACTTACACACTAGAACACGGACTATTACCAAGCAGCAATATGCATGCCATTACCATCCAGCATCCATGACTGCAAGTTCTACATCGGAAAACCTTTGTATTAAGAGATCGACATCGTTGAGGAGATGCAAGGTCATAATATTGAATGATCTTTCTCAAACTTTGTCCGGATTTTGCTAAATTTAATGTATAAGAAATCTAAACCTTATGCCACATCACGTTGAATCTTGAAGGCCCTTGGATGCTCTAGGTCTCTAGAAAATTCAAAGGGGTCATACAAAAATTATTCCAGTCAGGTAATTGACATTGTGAGTATAAAAAAGTTGTTTTTGGAAGTAGATCTACGGTGGATGAAAGCAAGACCTTTGAAATATTGCAAAATAGTATATGTCTTTCGATCTTTCTTAAATAAATTATATATTTCTTTGATAGCTTTGTATTTTAAATTTGAGTGCTTCTCTCTTTTGTTTCCATTGGTGAAGTTCAAGCTGTATTCGGATTTGAATTTTTTTTGTGAGTGACATTTATTTTTGTGTTTAATTTTGGATCTCCAAACAAATGTCATCAATGATTAAAAATTTCATTGCAAGAGATGCTCAATGAAATAGTATTCTAGTTTTTCCCCTAATTCTATCTTGTCTTTTTTATCATTGCATCTCTTTTAAATAGCAACGTTTACTCAGAGTACGCGATCTATGGCTATCATGCCACATAACATAAAAGTTGGATGTTTGTTGCAAAAGAACAAAATTATATAAATTATATCTTTAGGGCTTAATCCAATAAAAAACTTCTACTTGCAAAATCAAGATATTTCAAATTGAGTATGATTAGATTGCAATTGTAGGATATACATTGCAAAAATAATCACACACTTTTTGACAAATTCAATGTTGCTAAAGTTTGATTGTGATTCAATGCAAAATTTTGGTGTTATAACATGACAGTATTTTGACAATATGATTCAAATTTGTGACTATAATTATAACACAAGTAACGATTTAGAATGAAACAAAAAGA